AGCTCGGGGCAAGCATCTACACTATGGGGACCTCATTTGCCAGTAAAAATATGATAATTGGTTCTTTACCTTTCTATCTGGCAACAAAACTGACACCTTTTTGCAAGGAGTCATGTTTGCATAGACCGCAATACCTGCAGTCATAATACAAACAAAAGAACATAACTCTGATAATGTACACTGTCCCTGAAGTTGATTGGTCCACACCCGAGACAGCTTTCCTTCGAGCCTAGTCTCATATGGGTTGGACCAGATGACGCCAAAAGGCGCACAACTCAAGGACAATGCACCATCAGAGTATGAGAGCTCGGGGCAAGCATCTACACTATGGGGCAAGCATCTACACTTTTGCTGGCAAATGAGGTCCCCATAGTGTAGATGCTTGCCCCGAGCTCTCATACTCTGATGGTGCATTGTCCTTGAGTTGTGCGCCTTTTGGCGTCATCTGGTCCAACCCATATGAGACTAGGCTCGAAGGAAAGCTGTCTCGGGTGGGGACCAATCAACTTCAGGGACAGTGCACATTATCAGAGTTATGTTCTTTTGTTTGTATTATGACTGCAGGTATTGCGGTCTATGCAAACATGACTCCTTGCAAAAAGGTGTCAGTTTTGTTGCCAGATAGAAGGGTAAAGAACCAATTATCATATTTTTACTGGCAAATGAGGTCCCCATAGTGTAGATGCTTGCCCCGAGCTCTCATACTCTGATGGTGCATTGTCCTTGAGTTGTGCGCCTTTTGGCGTCATCTGGTCCAACCCATATGAGACTAGGCTCGAAGGAAAGCTGTCTCGGGTGTGGACCAATCAACTTCAGGGACAGTGCACATTATCAGCGTTATGTTCTTTTGTTTGTATTATGACTGCAGGTATTGCGGTCTATGCAAACATGACTCCTTGCAAAAATGTGTCAGTTTTGTTGCCAGATAGAAGGGTAAAGAACCAATTATCATATTTTTACTGGCAAATGAGGTCCCCATAGTGTAGATGCTTGCCCCGAGCTCTCATACTCTGATGGTGCATTGTCCTTGAGTTGTGCGCCTTTTGGCGTCATCTGGTCCAACCCATATGAGACTAGGCTCGAAGGAAAGCTGTCTCGGGTGTGGACCAATCAACTTCAGGGACAGTGCACATTATCAGAGTTATGTTCTTTTGTTTGTATTATGACTGCAGGTATTGCGGTCTATGCAAACATGACTCCTTGCAAAAAGGTGTCAGTTTTGTTGCCAGATAGAAGGGTAAAGAACCAATTATCATTGACATAAACAAAGTTTAGTTGTATTTCTATATTTATTTTTTAAAGTGATTTGCTTACCTTTCCTAGCACTCCTATCGTGTGTTTGCACTGTTTGTTGTTGTAACATTCCTACCCCGTGCCCCTGCTGGACACCTGTGAAAAAGTGCTTCATAGCTCATCGGATTTACTCCTGCAGTATGAATAAATATTCAGATTCTGATCTGACTAACTGTGATGAACTTATTGATGCTGTTTGGAGGACAGAGGATGTGGTGGTGGTAGTGGAGATTTAAGAAAAGTGTGACTGTTGTTTCAACTGGAGAGTTAAACTTAAACTAACCTATTTTACACGCTTTCATTTAACTCGCTCTGTTGTTGTTGTTGTCATTGTTGTATCCTCAAATCTTGTAACTCAATTTTAACCCACTTCCCAATGTGGTATCGACTGCAAACTTGGTATACTTATGTCATACTGATGACAAGACGATATTCTATCATTAAAAATAAAAAAAGATATATTTTCAAACATTATTTTTTAAATGTTATGTTTCGGCTTGGGTCTAATTGTCCACGCTCAACTTGACATTGGCTGTAATTGCCCACGGTCCCTTACGTTATGGCAAGCTTCGGGGCCACTTCCTGGAGTCGTGGAGTTCTTCCATTACTCATTTCATAAAAGCGTGTTTTTAAAAAAGTTTTTTTTACAAATATTACTTATTTTTATTCTACCAGGTAAGACCTACTGAGCTATGTAGCTCTTGTGTCAAAAGGGACCTGGCGATCACGAAGGAAAACTCAACGAAGCGGCTTCACATCGTGTGGAAATTTATAGCAGGAACCAAGTACTCGGAATGCACGTTGATTCTAAATTATGAGAAAAACTGGAGGACACAGCGACAAATCCACGCGACCACAGGAAGAGAGAGAGACGCGCAATCTTCAAATATACAGCAGCAGGCGTCAGGGTCGGGATCGAACCCACGACCTCCTGTACACCAGGCGAGGTAGTTAACATCTCCTAGCCACTGTGATGATGACGAGAGAGAGAGACACGCAAACTCCAAATATACAGCAGCAGGCGTCAGGGTTGGGATTAAACCCACGACCTCCTGTTTACCAGGCGAGGTAGTTAACATCTCCTAGTCACCGTGATGGTGATGAGAGAGAGAGACACGCAATCTTCAAATATACAATAGCAGGCGTCAGGGTCGGGATCGAACCCACGACCTCCTGTACACCAGGCGAGGTAGTTAACATCTCCTAGCCACCGTGATGATGACGAAAGAGAGAGAGACACGCAAACTCCAAATATACAGCAGCAGGCGTCAGGGTCGAGATCGAACCCACGACCTCCTGTATACCAGGCGAGGTAGTTAACATCTCCTAGCCACCGTGATGATGATGAGAGAGAGAGACACGCGAACTCCAAATATACAGTAGCAGGCGTCAGGGTCAGGATCGAACCCATGACTTCCTGTACACCAGGCGAGGTAGTTAACATCTCCGAGCCACCGTGATGGTGACGAGAGAGAGACACACAGACTCCAAATATACAGTAGCAGGCATCAGGGTCGGGATCGAACCCACGACCTCCTGTATACCAGGCGAGGTAGTTCACATCTCCTAGCCACAGTGGTGATGATGAGATAGAGACACGCAAACTCCAAATATACAGCAGCAGGCGTCAGGGTCGGGATCGAACCCACGACCTCCTGCACACCAGGCGAGGTAGTTAACATCTCCTAGCCACCCGCAGCACCCAGACACATATCAACGCCAATACCAACAACACCGCCGCTACCGTCGCCACCACCACACCCAGCCAAACAGCGCTAATCACACTCTCGTAATGCGGCAATTTATAGCAATCGTCCATCGCAGAGTGATGTAGGGCTCAGGTGGCTCGTTTTGAAATTGGCTCGATGATCACAAAGAGCCGGGGCGTTGCGCTGTCGCGTCACCGATTGCGTCACCAGTTGCATCACCAGTTGGGTGTTTTTCGGTGAAATATGGGCACCGGTGGCTTCGGACCGTGACGTTTCTTACGCGCCCATCCGCAAGTTCAATAAGGGGCCGTCCATAAATGACGTCACGCGATTTTGGACAATTTTTGACTCCCCCCCCCTCGTCACACGGCGTCACAAAAAGTCAGACCCCCCCTCAAATATGACGTCACAAAGCTCTGCCCCCCCCCCCCCCAAACCATATTTCCAATTTGAAAATAAAAAATTCTTCAAATCACTTTAAACTATTGTCATTGTAGTGCGTATTTAATGTGGCGCTGCACTCTGATGTTGTAGGAGAAAACATTTATTAAGAAGTCTATTTAATTAAGTAGAACGTGTCGTCCATATTTATTTAAAGTTGCGCATTTGATGTGACGTCACATTTCTCAACCCCCCCCCTCGTCACACATCGTCACAAATGTACACTTTTCATCACCGGGATATTTTGGGCCAATGGCTGTCATGTTTTTTTTTGGTGATTTCGAAAAGTGTATTGGTTTAGCCATGTTTGTTTGTTGTAGTACAGAGTTAGACTGATGGCCTTAATCTAAGTTGTCTTGTGGTTGTTGTTGTTTGACTTGCATCCCACTGGGATATTTGCACAGGGTTGGTGTACGGTGATTTTTCTGCAATATTTTGCTGTCTTTTCTTGGATTTTCTGTTTGCACTTAGTCACAATCACTTTAAGATGTTTTTTGTTTATGTTTCTGTTTTTTGTTTGTTGCGGTTGCACCCGATTCAAGAGCCGAATGGTTCACAGGGCTACACCTAATACATGAACTTGAACCGGGAGGAAACCCGTGCAGAACAAGCGGGAGAGAAAGAAAGAGAAGATACTGCCTGCTCTCCGACAACGCGACGAATGTACAAGTGAACACATTTTTTATAACGCGGCCGCGATTTGGATGTACAACGCGATCGAGCAAACGAAACTACGTCGCATGGCTGCATTGGCGTAGCGTCTCACAAGGCGGCATGCTGCTGGATTCTTCTAGATCAGGGGTCGGGAACCTTTTTGACTGGGAGAGCCATAAAAGCCAAATATTTCTAAATATATTTCATTGAGAGCCATATAGTAATTTTAACGTATAATAAATGAAATATGTCTTACTTTTAATGCGACTTCTGGTGCTGCATGGTTTTGCTGATGGCCTTGTAGTCTGGTTCGTACGTGGTGAGGTTGAGTTTCATGCAGGCGTTGAGGCCCCGTGACACGTGAAATTTATCTTCAAAACTAATTTCTGTTTACTTTCAAATGACACACCATTATTAAGCAATATCACAAGTATTTGAAAATCAGTTCCAAACTGATTTTTTTTTTCAACTCAAAATTGTCTGGGAGCCATATGCCGTCACCAGAAGAGCCAGATGGTACACACGCGCCCCCAGTCTTTGTACGGCCTGTGTACGCATCTCACTTTTTGTGACCGTGCACCGTGCTTCGCCCAACATGACACATCACTTACGACAACGCGATTTTTCCAAAACGCGGTGTTCTTCAGGAACGAATCGGGAATCGAAGCCAGCGGCTTCTTGCTCCGAGGCGCGGCAGTTACCACCACGCTGCCCAACCAATAACTCTCCCAACAATCGACGCTAAAGCAGAGAAACCCGGCAGGTAAAGAGGTACACGTTGAAGTTCCTTCGCGCCGTACGAAAGCCAACCGTGTTGCCGTGGGCTCGCCAGGATGTGCAGTTGCATGGAGTCTACGTTACCTGGTTACCAGGTCGCCGTGGTAACCAGGGCGAGGGGTTTACCTTGGCGGCGACGATGCTGAGGCCCAGACCGTGCTGCTTCTTGAGCGTGACGGTGAGCACCTTGGGCACCTGGTGTTGCAGCGAGCCCTGCGTCACCACAACCGCACAAACGCAACAGCAAAAGCGCCGCCAATCACACACCGCCATCGTCACCGTGTGTCAGCGTATGTCAGTGTGTGTGGGGAGCGGTAGTGTAGTGTTTTTCCCTTCTACGTGACTTTACCGAAAGAACCAAGAAGATGAATCCCTGCAGTCACAAAAGCTTTAAATCGAAAGGTAGTGTAGTGGTTAGTGCGCTGCGCTATGAACCCGGTGAGCCGAGTTCGATTCCCGCTCGCGGCCAACACCGGTGGCGATTATTTGAAACGGCACTGGGCCTCCTGTAGGTCGACTCAGCCTCAAATGAGTACCTGGTGCGGTATGTAAACATCGCCGCTAGGGAGACAAAGGCGGTCGGGCGTGGTGCTGGCCACCCACCCCCTCGTGTACCGTTCCAGCCTTCATAGGTGCTCGCTAACAGCACTTGCCCCTACAGTCTGTTAAGGCTATACATGGGATCTTTGTCTTTGTGTGTGTCAGTGAGTTGGCACAGTGTAGGGGGGGAGGCATCTGCTAGTCATCTCACAGTCAACCCACGGCACCTGCGGGGTGTGCCCCGTGACCTCTTTGCGAGCAGCGAGCCTGCGACGACACTTCACGTGGCCTCAAAAAACATGCACCTGGCCTGGCACAGGTGCCGTGGTTGACGTCACCGTCACTCAGCGGAGAATGGCGGGTATTGGTATCAAGAGTGTGTAACCGGTCCTGGACCTCCCTTAGGTCGACTCAGCCTCAAATAAGTACCTGGTGCTGCGTGTAAAAACACTGCCACTCGGGAGACAATGGCGGCCGGGCGTGGTGCTGGCTAACAACTCCTTGTTTTCCGTGGCGGCCTTCATAGGTGCTACTCGCTAACAGGACTTGCCCCAACGGTCTGTTGACGCTATACGGGTGATCTTTGTCTTTGTGCTCGTGTAGGACGGGCTGGGGGATCAGCTGCTCAGCGTTGATGGCAACAGCCTGGTCGGCCTTTCTCAAGAGGGGCACAGTCTCATTCACACACACGTGCACTCACTCACACACTCGTGAACGATGGAGTGAACGAGCAGCACTTGCCCCAATGGTCTGTTAAGGCTATACGGGTTATCATTGTGTCAGCGTGCACGTATCAGCGTGTGTCAGTGTGCGTGTGTCAGTGTGCGTGTGTCAGCGTGCGTGCGTCAGCGTGCACGTATCAGCGTGTGTCAGCGTGCGTGTGTCAGCGTGCGTGCGTCAGCGTGCGTGCGTCAGCGTGCGTGCGTGCGTCAGCGTGCACGTATCAGCGTGTGTCAGCGTGCGTGTGTCAGCGTGCGTGCATCAGCGTGCGTCAGCGTGCGTCAGCGTGCGTGTGTCAGCGTGCACGTATCAGCGTGCGTGTGTCAGCGTGCGTGCGTCAGTGTGCAAGCACCGTGTCAGTGGGAAGGAGGGGGCCACTGTCGTTGTCGTGACCCTCAAAGAACACGGTCCACACTCCCGGTGAGCGTAGAAGGGGCACCAGACGACAAAGACCTGCACACACACACACAAAGGTAAAGATCCCCCATGCATGTATGTTGAACGTCTTTCGCACCATACGTAGCCAACCATGCTAATCGGGAGGTTCCGTGCCTCCCTAAAACGAGCACCTGGTGCGGGGTGTAAACATCGACCTAGCGTAGACACACAAGACTGTTGGGGAAAGATTGTCTTCTTTATAAAAAAATTGTATTTTAGCAGGTACGGCCCCCACTGAGCTATTAGCTCTCTTTCATAAGCGACCTGGTCAACCACAAATGATGGCTCAGCGAAGTGGCTTATCGTCGTCGCGTGGAAATGTATCGCAGCAGCCAAATAACCGCGTGGTGTTGTCGATTCTAAATGCGGATTGGATAAAACCCGTCAGGGTCGGGATCGAACCCACGACCTCCTGTACACCAGGCGAGGTAGTTAACATCTCCTAGCCACCGTTGTGATGATGATGAGAGAGAGACACGCAAACTTCAAATATACAGCAGCAGGCGTCAGGGTCGGGATCGAACCACGACCTCCTGCATACCAGGCGAGGTAGTTAACATCTCCTAGCCACCGTGATGACGAGAGAGAGACACGCAAACTCCAAATATACAGCAGCAGGCGTCAGGGTCGGGATCGAACCCACGACCTCCTGTATACCAGGCGAGGTAGTCAACATCTCCTAGCCACCGTGATGACGAGAGAGAGACACGCAAACTCCAAATATACAGCAGCAGGCGTCAGGGTCGGGATCGCACCCACGACCTCCTGTACACCAGGCGAGGTAGTTAACATCTCCTAGCCACCGTGATGATGACGAGAGAGACACGCAAACTCCAAATATACAGCAGCAGGCGTCAGGGTCGGGATCGAACCCACGACCTCCTGTATACCAGGCGAGGTAGTCAACATCTCCTAGCCACCGTGATGACGAGAGAGAGACACGCAAACTCCAAATATACAGCAGCAGGCGTCAGGGTCGGGATCGCACCCACGACCTCCTGTATACCAGGCGAGGTAGTTAACATCTCCTAGACACCGTGATGATGATGAGAGAGAGAGACACGCAAACTCCAAATATACAGCAGCAGGCGTCAGGGTCGGGATCAAACCCAAGACCTCCTGTATACCAGGCGAGGTAGTCAACATCTCCTAGCCACCGTGATGACGAGAGAGAGACACGCAAACTCCAAATATACAGCAGCAGGCGTCAGGGTCGGGATCGCACCCACGACCTCCTGTACACCAGGCGAGGTAGTTAACATCTCCTAGACACCGTGATGATGATGAGAGAGAGAGACACGCAAACTCCAAATATACAGCAGCAGGCGTCAGGGTCGGGATCAAACCCAAGACCTCCTGTATACCAGGCGAGGTAGTTAACATCTCCTAGCCACCGTGATGATGATGATGAGAGAGAAAGACACGCAAACTCCAAACATACAGCAGCAGGCGTCAGGGTCGGGATCGAACCCACGACCTCCTGTATACCAGGCGAGGTAGTTAACATCTCCTAGCCACCGTGATGATGACGAGAGAGAGACACGCAAACTCCAAATATACAGCAGCAGGCGTCAGGGTAGGGATCGAACCCACGACCTCCTGTATACCAGGCGAGGTAGTTAACATCTCCTAGCCACCGTGATGATGATGAGAGACACGCAAACTCCAAATATACAGCAGCAGGCGTCAGGGTCGGGATCGAACCCACGACCTCGTGTACACCAGGCGAGGTAGTTAACATCTCCTAGCCACCGTGATGATGATGATGATGAAAGAGAGACACGCAAACTCCAAATATACAGCAGCAGGCGTCAGGGTCGGGATCGCACCCACGACCTCCTGTACACCAGGCGAGGTAGTTAACATCTCCTAGCCACCACAGTGTTGTTCGCGAGTGCCAGTCGGGGGTGGAGGGTGGCCAGCACCACTCACAGCCGCCTTTGTCTCTCCCGAGTGCCGACGTTTACACACCGCACCAGGTGCCCGTTTAAGGCTGAGTCGACCTAGGGGAGGCTCGGAAACATTCCTGATATCAATACCGACTATAATCACCCAGGAATGTGTGTCCTTAACGCTCGTGACGTCACTCCACATCGACCAGCCCCCCTCATTAATATTCATGAGCAGGTGACGTCCTCCAAATGGACACCCCCTCCCATTATTATTACTTACTAAGAATGTCAGTGTGCAACGCTCGTGACGTCACTCCACGTCGACCAGCCCCCCTCATGAATATTCATGAGCAGGTGACGTCACTCCACATGGAGCACCCTCCCCCCTCATTAATAATCATGGGCAGGTGACGTCCTCCAAATGGACATGCCCCTCTCATTAATAATAATTAGCGGCTGACGTCACTCCACACGGGGGTGGGGGGGGGGCGAGGCGCCTCCTAATTCTAATTAATTATCGGACACAGGTCACCGGGGTACGGATAGTAGTGTGCTAATCACTGGGCCACCACTCTCCACACCTGATGATACAAACACCCACCACCCGTACCGCCCTGTTACAGAGGGGTGAGGAACTCTGTGAGCCAGTGGGACCCCCTCTCTTATTCACTGTCTCTCTGTCTCTCCCTCTCTCGCCCCCATAGCTCTCTAACACAGAGGGGGAACTATGCAAGTCGGTGTCGCGCTTCCCCAAATGCTCCTCTGCGTCTCTCCCTCGCTCTCTCTGGCAGAGCGGAGCGAGAAATGCCTTCCCGCCGTACCTTTCTTCATTATTGACAACTTGCAGCTCAGCACACGGCAGATGCCTGCGCAGCGCGACTCACGACCGCCTCTTGATACCAAGATCCAGGATGGTCATCGTGTCTACGCGCCGCTTCTCGGTGGCAGCCCCAACAGTCTGGAACGCCATCATCCCTCTGCACATTCGCAGCATCACCTCAATCGCCTCCTTTAAGAGAGACTTAGAAACTCACCTCTACAATCATGCTTTCCAGCGACTCTGAGCTTGGCTCTGCGCCTCTGAGTTGCGGCCGTTACGTCCGCAAATTTGCGCGCGTTATCGATTGCATTATTATTATTATTATTCCATGTGGAACCGGGGCATTCACTCCATCTCTTTCTCTCTTACACACACACAAACATTCTCTCTGTATCTCTCCCCCTTCATCTCTCCCTCCCTCTCCCCCGTGCCTCTGGGCCAGAGCGGTGCGAGGAACGCGGCGAAGTCCGTGTGGTACCCCGCTTACTCCCTCACTCCGTCTCTCTCTCTCACACTCGCTCTGCATCTCTCCACTGCTCACTCCATCTCTCCATCCCGCTCTCCCCGTACCTCTCTGGCAGAGCGGAGCGAGGAACTCGGCGAGTCTGTCTGGAACCCCGCTTACTCCCTCACTCCGTCTCTCTCTCTCACACTCGCTCTGCATCTCTCCACTGCTCACTCCATCTCTCTCTCCCACCCGCTCTCCCCCGTACCTCTCTGGCAGAGCGGAGCGAGGAACTCGGCGAGTCCGTGTGGCACCCCCTTGACGATGTCGCACGAGTAGCCGTCCTCGGGCAGCAAGAAGGGCAGCTGCAGGTCCGGGTCCTCCTCCAGACGCACCTCGCGCATATCGCTGTGCGCCAGCTCGTCAGCAGTGCTGGTGGCCATGGCAACCACGCTGTCGATCAGTTCCTGCGAAGACCAAAGACCCACCCCCCGTGCAGCTTCAACAGACTGTCGGGGAAAGTGCCGTTTGCGAGTAGCGACGATGAACGCCGGCAGTGGGGCACACGAGTTGGGTGGATCGCCAGCTCCACTCCCGACTAACGTTGTCTCCTTGCGTCACCCGGTCTATCCCCACGTCACCCGGTCTATCTACACGTCACCCGGCCTATCCACACGTCACCCGGTCTATCCCCACGTCACCCGGTCTATCCACACGTCACCCGGTCTATCCACACGTCACCCGGTCTATCCACACGTCACCCGGTCTATCCACACGTCACCCGGTCTATCCACACATCACCCGGTCTATCCACACGTCACCCGGTCTATCCACACATCACCCGGTCTATCCACACGTCACCCGGTCTATCCACACGTCACCCGGTCTATCCACACGTCACCCGGTCTATCCCCACGTCACTCGGTCTATCCCCACGTCACCCGGTCTATCCACACGTCACCCGGTCTATCCCCACGTCACCCGGTCTATCCCCACGTCACTCGGTCTATCCACACGTCACCCGGTCTATCCCCACGTCACCCGGTCTATCCCCTACGACAGCCAGCGTATCTGCCATCGCCCCCCCTCTCCGCCGTGCGTGTCTCCCGTGCCGTGCCCCCCCTCCGTACGCGAGGGATGCTGGGCTCCCCCGTGGCGCCCTGGTATCCCTCCAGCAGTGCGCGCAGCTGCAGTGAGTTGAGCTTGAAGCAGGTGCTGCTGATCTCCGGCGCGTCCTTGGGCGCGTACTTGTCCATCGTGAGCAGGGTCGTGGCCTGGGATGCAGACCGCACGGTGAGAAGTGCAACAACAACAACAAGAGGATTCATCTTCTTGGTTCTTGCGGTAAAGTCACGTAGAAGGGAAATAATAAAATAATAAAAATAAAACGTAATAAAATCATTATCACGACGTTTCGGCCACAACGCAAGCAGCCGTCGCCGAAACGTCGTGAGAATTGTATTTTATTATGTTTTATTTTTATTATTTTATTACTTCCCTTCTACGTGACTTTACCGAAAGAACCAAGAAGATGATCCCTGCAATCACGAAAGCTTTAAATCGAAACAAGAGGATTAACGGCAACGGGCCCGGCCGCCTTTGTCTCCCCGGGTGTGCGATGTCTTACACTCCGCCCCCCACAGGTACTCATCTGAGGCCGAGCAGACCGTCACCGGTGCTCGTGGCCGTGAGCGGGAATCGAACTAAGGATCACCGGCTTTCGTAGCGCGGCGCGCTAACCGCCGCTCGCCCACACGTACACATGCACACAAACAGACGCACACACGGACACACACGCAAGCACAAAGACAAAGATCCCCCGAATAGCTTTTAGCAAACTGTTGGGGCAAGTGCTGTTAGCGAGAAGCACCTATGAAGGCCGGCACTGTGGCACGCAAAAGGGTGGGGTGGCCAGCACGACGCGCCCGGTAACCTTGGTCTTCCCATTGGCACCAGGTACTCATTTGAGGCTGTGTCGACCTAGGGGAGGCCCATGACTGGTTCAGATAATCGTCACTGGTGTTGGCCGTGAGCGGGAATCGAACTCGCCAGGTTCATAGTGCAGCATGCTAACTGCTACACTACCGCTCCTGACACTCCACCACGGCCAACACATAGACACAACAACAACAACAACCGCCATTCCCCACTAAGTGGCGGTGATGTCACCACGACGCTTGTGCCACACACAGCCTGCACCACATGCACACAGTCCGCACCACAATGTACACAGCGTAGTACACCACACAATACGCTATACATTCCACAGTACACCACACTCTACAGCACACCACACATGCTGCAGTTCACCCACTCACATGCAAAGAAAAAGATCCCCCCCCGGAAGGCCTTAATAGGACTGTTGGGCAAGTCCTGTTAGCGAGTAAGTACACACACCACACACACATCACATGCACCACAGACGCAACACACACCACACCACACACCACATACACACCCACCACACATCACATGCACCACAGATGCAACACACACCACACACGCAACACACCACACACACACCACATACACACCACACACCACACAAACACACACACCACAACACACATCACACACACGCAACACACGCCACATACACACCACACATCACACACATCACACACACCACACACACCACACAAATACCACACACACACACAACACACCACAAGACACCACACACCACAAACACCACACACCACACACACACACACCACACCACACACCACACAAACACCCCACGCAACACACACACACCCCACGCAACACACACACACCCCACACACACACACACACCACCCACACCTGCATGATCCTGCTGAGGTGGCAGTCGGCGGCGAGCTCGAGGCCCTGGCGCTCGGCCCAGCCCTCGACGGCGTGCAGGCGCTCGTGCAGCGCCACCCCCCAGTAGTAGGAGCAGAGGGGCTGGCGAGCCGCAGCGCCCCGCGCCAGCTCGTTGAAGAGCCACATGTTGACAAAGTGGAAGAGCTGCGAGAAGAGCTGGATGGTGAGCGCCGCGTTCACGCGGCACCGGCGCAGCAAGGACATGGCGCCGCTCAGCGTCTGCAGCACGTCGTCTGGGAGGGGGAGGGAGGGAGGGCGAGGGAGCATGAGGAGGAATAAGAGGATGAAGAGGATGAGGAGGGCGAGGGAGGGAGAGGAGGGAGAGGGAGGATGAGGAGGGCGAGGGACGACGAGAAGGAATAGGAGGATGAGGAGGGAAGGGGAGGAAGAGTATGAGGAGGGCGAGGGAGGAAGAGGGAGGGAGAGGGAGGGTGATGGAGGGTGATGGAGGGCGAGAGACGCTGAGAAGGAATAGGATGATGAGGAATAGGTGGATGAGGAGGGCGAGGGAGGAAGAGGGAGGGAGAGGAGGGCGAGGGACGACGAGATGGAATAGGAGGAAGAGGAGGAAGAGGGAGTGAGAGGAGCAAGAGGATGAGACTGATGACCACACAGAGCTGATGGACAAGCCGAATTTGGCGCCAGATTGCTGCCTGGCCACCAGAGGTCGCAAACGAGTTTTGATTCCTTACCCGTACCCGGCCGCACCAGGGTCGCAAACGGGTACCCGTACCCAGCCGGGTAGGGATTCCCGTTCCCTACCCGTACCCGTACCCTACCCGAAATGAGTGACAAACGGTTACTCACCAGTGACTCACGGTCTACCCGTACCCGGCCGCACCAGGGTCGCAAACTGGTACCCGTACCTGGCCGGGTACGGGTAGCCGGGTATCGGGTAGGGTACGGGTATCGGGTATCGGGTACCCGGTTGCGACCTCTGCTGGCTACTGCCTTCCCCTCCGTGTCCTTGGTTCCTCCTCACACCTCCAAGTCGTTCCCTCTCGCTCTCTCTCTCGTGCTCACTGTCTCTCCACGAGGGATAAATTCTAGATTTGAAGCTTTCGTGACTGCAGGGATTCATCCTCTTAGGTTGCTTTCGGTAAAGTCACGTAGGTAAAAAATAATAAAATAATACATCAGGTGGGACCGTCACAGCTAAATTTACCGATTCACTTGATACAGTAAATTTAGCTGTGACAGTCCCACCTGAAGACGGAGACTTGTGTTGCCTCCGAAACGTCGTGATTTATTATTATTTTTTTACCTACGTGACGTTACCGAAAAAACCTAAGAGTATGAGAGGGATCAAGCACGGCGTGCATTACAAGTTGAACTTAATAGGATTATGATTTTTATTAAGAAGGAAATTCACCGTTTCACAGACGGCCGCCTCTATTCTTGGAAAGCAATCCAGGTATAAGTTCAGGGCAGGGCAGGTTTTGTTTGCTGGCCAAAAAGACAAAGATCCCCCCCCCCCCGTATAACCTTAACCGACTGTAGGGGCAAGTGCTGTTAGCGAGTAACACCTATGAGAGGGCCGGCACGGCACACGAGGGGGTGGTTGGCCAGCACCACATCCGACCGCCTTTGGCTCCCCAGTGGCGATGTTTACACACCGCACCAGGTACTCATTTGAGTCGACTTCGGGGAGGGCCGAGGGCCGGTTCAGATAATCGTCAATGGCGGTGGTGCAGCTAACGGCTGCACGACCACTGCACCACCGCTCTTCTACACACACACAAAGCGGAGATGCTGTCTGCTGCTACTCCCATCTGGTGGCCACAGAAGGGAAAATAAAAAAAAAACATGGCACAGCAGGTCAACCGGTGCCGCGATGCCTCCATTCATTTACTCGGACAACTGCTACAGAAAATCTATATTTTAAAACAAAAGGGCACGCGGATGCCTAGTGGACATCTGCGAGTAGCAGGGGGAGGCAAGAACGCGTCACTTTGGGCAGCAGCGGCAGGGAAAAAAAACGCGGAGAAGCTTAAATCAGAGAGAGGGGAGCACATAGCAGCAGTTGGGGGGGGGGGGGATGGGGTGGATGGGGGCAGCACGAGAGCAAGGGAAGCAAAAGGGGCAGCAGTTTTACCGATCTTGGGGCCCTGGGCGCTGGGCTCCTCCGGATCCTCCAGGAAGGCCGGCATGCACTTGTTGAGATCTGACTGCAGGCAGTGGACCAGGTGCCTGCAGTTACACACACACAATCACACACACAATCACACGCGCACAAACACACGCACAATCACACGCACAAACACACGCACACAAACACACGCACACACGCGCACAAACACACGCGCACAAACACACGCGCACAAACACACGCGCACAAACACACGCGCACAAACACACGCGCACAAACACACGCGCACAAACACACGCGCACAAACACACGCGCACAAACACACGCGCACAAACACACGCGCACAATCACACGCGCACAATCACACGCGCACAATCACACGCGCACAATCACACGCGCACAATCACACGCGCACAATCACACGCGCACAATCACACGCGCACAAACACACGCGCACAAACACACGCGCACAAACACACGCGCACAAACACACGCGCACAAACACACGCGCACAAACACACGCGCACAAACACACGCGCACAATCACACGCACAATCACACGCACAAACACACGCACACAAACACACGCACACAAAGACACGCACACAAACACACGCACACAAACACACGCACACAAACACACGCACACAAACACACGCACACGCGCACACGCACACGCACACACGCACACGCACACACGCACACACACACGCACACAAACACACGCACAAACACACGCACAAACACACGCACAAACACACGCACAATCACACGCACAAACACACGCACAAACACACGCACAAACACACGCATAATCACACGCACAATCACACGCACAAACACACGCACAAACACAGAAAGACAAAGACCCCCATAACGCGTTTCACAGACTTTTTGGGCGAGAACCTTTGAAGGCCGGAACGGTACACGAGGGGGTGGGTGGCCAACACCACGCCCGGCCACCTTTATCTCCCCAGTGGTGATGTTTACACATCGCACCAGGTACTATTTTAAGGCTGAGTCGACTTAGGGGAGGCCCATGACTGGTTCAGATAATCCTCGACGGTGTTGGCCGTGAGCGGGAATCGAACTCGGGTGGGCGGGTTCGTAGCGCGGCGTGCGAACCGCTGCACCACCGCTCCCCACACACACAACCCGCACACCTCCGATTAGTACGGTTGGCTACGTTCGGTGCGAAAGAAGTTTAAGATAAATACGTACACACAAAGATAATCTATAATACAGGTTTTTCTTTTTGGGTTAAGATCGTGTAAATATATAAATGTGTCGTTAAAACCCGCGACCACCCGACACAACCAACTACACATATTCACTTTAAGATGTTTTCTTGTTCATGTTTTAGTTTTTTGCGGTTGCACCCGATTCAAGAGCCGAATGACTCACAGGGCTATACCAGATAAATAAACTTGAACCTGAAAAGTCTGTTGAGGCTACACCGGCGGCGGCGGGGGGGGGGGACCTTTGTGTTTGTGCCGGCGTGTCTCACCGGAAGGCCGTGTGCACGCCGCTTGCCAGCACGTCCTGGCCATCGGCGGTGACGCGGCCAAGCTCAGAGTCCTGCTTCAGGAAGTTGAGCAGCTCCGAGGCGTTGGCCATCCAGAACGCGAGCGCGCTCGCCATGCCGCTCTGCTCCTGCACCACCACCACCACCACGGCAACAACCACCATGGCAACGATCAGCACCGCAATCACCACCACCACGGCAACAACCACCATGGCAACGATCAGCGCCGCAATCACCACTACACCACCACGTCGACAACCACCATGGCAACGATCAGCACTGCAATCACCACAGCACCACCACCACGGCAACAACCACCATGGCAACGATCAGCACCGCAATCACCACCACCACGGCAACAACCACCATGGCAACGATCAGCACCGCAATCACCATCACCACGGCAACAACCACCATGGCAACGATCAGCGCCGCAATCACCACTACACCACCACCACGTCGACAACCACCATGGCAACGATCAGCACTGCAATCACCACAGCACCAGCACCATGGCAACGACCACCACCGCAATCACCACAACACCACCACCACCACGTCAACAACCACCATGGCAAACAACCACCATTGCAACGATCAGCACCACAATCACCACAACACCACCACCACCACGTCAACAACCACCATGGCAAACAACCACCATGGCAACGACCACCACCGCAATCACCACAACACCACCACCACCACGTCAACAACCACCATGGCAACGATCAGGACTGCAATCACCACAACACCATCACCACGTCAACAACCACCATGGCAACGATCAGCACTGCAATCACCACAACACCACCACCACGTCAACAACCACCATGGCAACGATCAGGACTGCAATCACCACAACACCACCACCACGTCAACAACCACCATGGCAACGATCAGGACTGCAATCACCACAACACCACCACCACGTCAACAACCACCATGGCAACGATCAGCACTGCAATCACCACAACACCACCACCACGTCAACAACCACCATGGCAACGATCAGGACTGCAATCACCACAACACCAGCACCACGGCAACGACCACCACCGCAATCACCACAACACCACCACTACGTCAACAACCCACATGGCAACGACCACCACCGCAATCACCACAACACCACCACCACGTCAACAACCACCATGGCAACGATCAGGACTGCAATCACCACAACACCACCACCACGTCAACAACCACCATGGCAACGATCAGCACCACAATCACCACAACAACACCACCACCACGGCAATGATCAGCACAACACCACCACCACGATCATAACCAGCAAGACGACCACCATTCCAGAACACCAGCTCGTGCACCATCCTTCTCTGCTCCCGCTCCACCACGACCACCACCGTAACGATCAGCACCACAATCACCACAGCACCACAATCACCACCACCACCACCACCACAGCAATAATCAGCACGACAATACCACCACCACCACTCTCACAACGAGCATTACCACCATTCCAGAATGCCAGCGTGCTCACCGTCCTACTCGGCTCCTGCTCCACCAACAACACAAACACAACCACCCCGGCAACAATCATCAACCACAATCATCGCCGCAGATCTTGTGCATTCAACACAATCACACCGACGCGGTCACGGCGTGAGTGCGCGTCAGTTAGTCCGCACGGCAAGCGCAGATGAGGCACGGGTGAACGAGCGGACAGAGCACTGACGTGACGGTGTTAGCGGGGAGAGGTGGGTGGTTGCGGTTGCGGTGGGAAGGGAGGGTGGCTAGGAGATGTTATCTCCCTCGCCTGGTGTACAGGAGGTCGTGGGTTCGATCTCGTCCCTGACGCCTGCTGCTGTATATTTGGAGTTTGCGTGTCTCTCTCTCTCATCATCATCACGGTGGCTAGGAGATGTTAACTACCTCGCCTGGTGTACAGGAGGTCGTGGGTTCGATCTCGTCCCCGACGCCTGCTGCTGTATATTTGGAGTTTGCGTGTCTCTCTCTCTCATCATCATCACGGTGGCTAGGAGATGTTAACTACCTCGCCTGGTGTACAGGAGGTCGTGGGTTCGATCCCGTCCCTGACGCCTGCTGCTGTATATTTGGAGTCTGCGCGTGTCTCTCTCTCGTTCCCCCCCCTGTGGTCGTGCGAATTTTTCTCCGGCCCCTCCGATTTTTGCCCTCCACATTTGTAATCGACGACACGCGTTTATATTTGGCCGTCACAAATTCCCACGCGACGGAACAAAACAAAAAGAGCTGGACAGCTCACGCGGGCCATTACGCGGCACAAAATAAAACGTAGCTCATCGTTTTAGCAATTTGAGTCGTTCCACGTTCACGCTCCGGTACGCACGCGGGCGGAGGGAGGGGTGGAGATCGCGTCCGGGTGCCGTGGGTGGATGGGGACAGCGAGATGCATGGAAAGCGGCGGGGGGGACGGGGGTAACAGGGGGAAGGGGGGGAGCCAGGGTTACACTCACAGCCAAGGGGGCGGCTTTGACACTCGCTCCTCCGGCCGCGACGTCGTCAGAAGATTTCGCGACCAAAAGTGCGGAGTCGTCGCAAGCAACGTTAGCGACGTAGGCGAGTTTGTACGCGTCGCCACGCTCCCACCCCCCCCCCCCCCCCCCCCCACTCTGTCAATCTGCTGCTGGACTGAGGGGGGCTGCCCCCCCACCGGCCGTGCGGGTTTACCGGCCGTACTTCACCGCGCCAGCCAGTGCGGGCTGGCGCTGAGGGCGGGCGAGTGTCGATGTGCGAGCGTACGATCATCGAGATTGTTTTGCTGCTCCACACTTCCACGCGACGATGAGCCGCTGAGCCGAGCTCTCATTTGTGGCCCAGGTCGCTTCTGAAAAGGAAACTAAATACGCTCGATGGGCTTTACCTGGGTGAGATAAAAAATGATTGTCGAGTTAAATTTTTCGATTTAAAGCTTTCGTGACTGCAGGGATTCATCTTCTTGGTTCTTTCGGTAAAGTCACGTAGAAGGGAAATAATAAAATAATAAATAATAAGACGTAATAAAATAATTCTTACGACGTTTCGGCCACAACGCAAGCAGCCGTCGTCCTCAGGTGAAAACCAGGTCTGTCGAGGCGACAGCGTCTGAATGTAACACCATATATACAAGCACGTGTGCTGTTTCATTCAGACGCTGTCGCCTCGACAGACCTGGTTTTCACCTAAAGATGGCTGCTTGCGTTGTGGCCGAAACGTCGTGAGAATTATTTTATGTTTTATTTTTATTATTTTATTACTTCCCTTCTACGTGACTTTACCGAAAGGACCAAGAAGATGAGTTTAATTTGTTTTTATTTATTTTTTTACCTTTCCTATACTTTGCACTCCTATCGTGTTTTTGTATCGTGTTTGGACATCTGCCAAAGAGCTTAATAGCTCATCGGATTCCTCCTGCAGCATAAATACAGGTTCTGATTCCGATGAGTGTAGTGCACAAACAAACGAACCTTGCTGCACAGCCCTCTGCTGCCAGCAATGTAGACCCCCCCAGCGGCTAGTAGGAACCTATAGCACCCTGCTATGCACGACTGGTGGTGGTGCCCCAACGAAATCAACTATCCAGGCTCAACCCCCGCTTGGCGTCCGAGATATGATGAGATCGGCAGTGCGCTCAGCGTTAAGTGCTCCACCGTTAGGGGGTTGTCAACGTCATTTACCCAACCGGGGAACCACAAACACACAGCAGCAGCCATCGTCAGCCGCCCCCCCCCTACCCCCCCTTGAAAAAGAAGAATCAAGAGACTCGGCGGGGGTTCTCCATGGGCGGGCGGCGGGCGGGGGGGGTAAAAGAGCGGGGAACTAATGATAATAATCGTGAATAAACATGCCATGGCAAAGTGAGAGATAAAGCGGTGTTCTTCACCAATTTCTAGAGGGGAGGGGGCCCACTTTCGCCGATAAGACATCAGCAGTGTGAAGCTCAACGCACTATTTGATACCATTGGGGGTTTGACAGCAGCACGATGATGATGATGGGTGTTAGAGGGATGTCACTCTTTGTGTATTGCCGTTGATGAACGAAGAACCAGAGCCGCTGTCATCACGCAACACTGATCCAGCTCCCACGTTGACGAACTAAGAACCCGAGTCAGGCGACCGTAGTCGCGGCAGCTGGAGTACCAAAACTAAACCAGCAACGGTAACTGCGGAATGTTCTGGAGAACCCCCCGGTGAAAACCGCACCACAACGCGTGGCACTCAAAAAGGCCGCGGGCAGCGGATGAGCTTCGATGATCCACCGCCGAACTGCCCATGTCCTATTCTTAGGTTTTTTTTCGGTAAAGTCACGTAGGTAAAAAATAAAAATCAATAAAAATAAAATAAAAATAAAATAAAATAAAAATCACGACGATTGCTGTATCAGCTATCGTGTTGTGAGGGTTCCACCTGAAGACGGAAGCTTGTGTTGCCTCCGAAACGTCGTGATTTTTATTTTATTTTTATTTTACTTTTATCAATTTAAATTTTTTACCTACGTGACTTTACCGAAAAAACCTAAGAATATGAATCCTTGCAGTCACGAAAGCTTCAAATCTAGAGTTAAAGACCCCTCCCCCCGTATAGCCTTAACAGACACACAGACAGAGACAAGTGTGTAGATATGTTATGCTCATCGATTAGATTGTACTAAAGGGTAGATTCACGCCCCCTGCACCGTTCCCTTTCCGCAGTAACGTGTACCGACGCCCACTCTATTTGAGGGTGACATTCGCACGCAAAATAAAGGATCGATCGATCGGCATGAGTCGCGGCGAGCGTTGCATTGACACTGATGCGAGGCCACGGGCTTTGTGGTGTTACTTGGGCAAGCAACGCATGGAAGGTGAGGAGGGGTGGGGGTAAGGGGGGGGGCAGCGGTGGTGGTAGCGCTCACACACCGTACCTGCTCGTGGTGCTTCAGGTCCTGAAAAGAGAGATTGGGGACCGAGAGAGAGAGAGGGGGGCAGGGGACGCGGTTGAGGGGTCGAGCGAGTCAAACCGCGGACACAGCGACACCAACACCAACGACAAAGATCCCCCGTGTAGCCCTAACAGAATGTAGAGGCAAGTGCTGTTAGCGAGCAGCTATGAATGTCGGCACGGTACACGAAGGGGTGGATGTCCAGCACCACGTCCGACCGCCTTTGTCTCACCAGTGGCAATGTTTATTACACACTGCACGAGGTACACATTTGAGGCTGAGTCGACCTACAGGAGGCCCAGCAACGATTCAGATATTCGTCACTGGTGTTGGCCGTGAGCGGGAATCGAACTCGGGTCACCAGGTTCGTAGCTCAGCACAAACCGCTGAACTACCGCTCCCTACAGCAACACCACCAGCAGCATCGACACCACCAACACTGCCTGCGTGGAGGAAGTATGGTGGCCTGGGGAAGAGGCATTCATCCAGCAGTGAATTGATCATGGGTGATGAAAGGTGAGTGACTCAACACTGCCCATAGACTCAACACTGCCCATCTACTCAGCACTGTCCAGAGACTCAACACTGCCCATAGACTCAAAACTGCCCAAAGACCCAACACTGTCCGTAGACCCAACACTGCACACTGCCCATAGACTCAAAACTGCCCATAGACTCAACACTGCCCATAGGCTGAACACTGCTCATAGACTCTACACTGCCCATAGACTCAACACTGCCCATAGACCCAACACTGCCCATTGACCCAAAACTGCCCATAGACTCAACACTGCCCATAGGCTGAACACTGCCCATAGACTCAACACTGCCCATAGACTCAACACTGCCCCTGTACATTAAGCAGTTACCCTCCTTAACCTCCTTCCGTTCCTCTCCTACATCCTCACCTTTCTCCATCTCCCATTCTCTTCCTCTTCCCTCCCCTCGCACCTCCACTGCGTCCCGTCACTCCCCTGTCACCCATTCGTGACCCCCACGTGACCTCTGTTACGGTCACTCACTCCTCAGCCCTTGCAGCACTGTCCATCTAAACCACTCTCCGTGCTGTTTCCGCTTTTAAACTAATTTATTGAGCGCCATGAGCTGAGGCGCTCTGCTCTATAACTATAATGAGATAAGAATCTGCGAGTGCTGGATGGACCAATCGCCCCGACTATGTGAGATTCTGTCAAGCGCGGTGAGGCTGGAACTGCGCGCCCCACGCCCAGGTACGTGGGAAGTCTCCGTATGAAACCCGTTCTAGATTTGAAGCTTTCGTGACTGCAAGGATTCATACTCTGAGGTTTTTTCGGTAAAGTCACGTAGGGAAAAATAAGTAAATAATAAAATAAAATACACATTTAGCTATTTTTTAATTCTATTATTTTATTATTTACTTATTTTTTACCTCCGTGACTTTACCGAAAAAACCAAAGAGTATGAAACCCATTGGTGCTGGCGGCCCATTTTTGGAGAGCACGCTAACGGCTCTCCACACACACGGCACTCAACAACAACAGCAGCAGCAGCAAGCCAGCGCCATCCACCACTGAAGTGGCGGTGACGTCACCACGGTGCCTGTGCCAGGAGATGTGCACTCCCGAGGCCGCGTGAAGCGTCGAAGGCTCCTTGCTGGCAGGAGGTCATGGGACAGACCCAGTGTGCCATGGGTTAACCGAGACAACTGGCAGTTACACCAGCTGTTTCCCCTCCGTACTGTGCCAACTTGCTGGACATCTGTGCATAAGAGCTTGACAGCTCATCGGATTACTCCTGCAGTATAATCGCATTCCAATTCAGATTCTGCTGCATTTCAGCCACACGGCGCTCCGCTCGTTGTAGTGAGCGTCGCTCCTCTGACCTCCGCATCCTCCTCTCTACACTGAGTCACACTCGCTGCCGTTGAGCCTCTGTAGAATCATCACAGCTTAGAGGAAATCTCTTTTTTTAATATGATTCTATATAATTCCTCGTCACAGCTATCTCTTAGACACACTTAAGCGGTTGTGCTTTCGCTACGTTGTCCCCACCTGAAGAAGGAAGCTTGTGTTGCGCCCGAAACGTCGTCATTTAATTTAGTTGTTTTCACCATTGGTACCTCATTTGCCAGTAAAAAAATATAATTGGTTTTTTACCCGTTAATCTGGCAACAAAACTGACACCTTTTTTACGAGGAGTCATGTTTGCATAGACCACAATACCTGCAGTCATAATGCAAACAGTGCATACATTATCAGAGTTATGTTTTTTTATGGCTGCAGGTATTGTGGGTCTATGCAAACATGACTCCTCGTAAAAAAGGTGTCAGTTTTGTTGCCAGATTAAAGGGTAAAAAAACAATTATCATTAGTTGTTTTCATTTATTTCATTAGATTTTTTACCTACGTGACTTTACCGAAAAAAAAAACCAAAGAGCATGAATCCTTGCAGTCACGAAAGCTTCAAATCTATCTTAGGAATCGGCAAAGCCGTCTGTTGGCAAGTGCCGGCACCTGGCGTTTGGTATCCTGAGAAGGACCGTCACCAAATTCCGGCACATTCCCGCCGCTGGATGCAACACAGAGCCGCCTCCTCTCTCTCTCGGGACAGGCGACACCAGTGAGTGGAAAATTACAGGTTTCTATGGCAGAGGGGCTCGGGACTTAAATTTATCTCATTACATTTCCACCAGTGACGAGGGGGGAGATTAAAAATTCCTCTTGATATGCAAATTCTTTTGTCAAGGCGCTCTTCTTCCACCTCCAACCCAGCTTATATATATATGCTAAATTCCTCTTGATATGCAAATTATTTTGTCAAGGCACTCTTCTCCCCCCTCCAACCCAGCTTAAATATACGCTCCAAGCCTGGTGGTGTTCATTCAGACTCTGTCTTCTCGACAGACCTATTCTTCACCTGAGGACGGCTGCTTGCGTTGTGGCCGAAACGTCGTGAAAATTGTATTTTATTATGTTTTATTTTTATTATTTTATTATTTCCATTCTACGTGACTTTACCGAAATAACCAAGAAGATAGGTCCACGCCGTAAAGAAAAGAGTCCTATTGCAAATAGCAACAAGTCCTATTGCAAACAACAACGCAGTAGGCTTTCGCAACCAATATTATCCGGAATAAAGGGTTTTTTTGAGGGGTTAGATCGAGTAAATATAAATGTGTCGTGAAACCCGCCACCACCCGACACAGCCAATTAGTAAGAAACGTCACGGCTACTCGAATTGGAAACGATGTTGTGGGTTTACTCTCCAACACACAACAACCGGTTAGTTCTGAACTATATTCTTATTCTTTGGTTATATATTCTTGGTTCTTTCGGTAAATTTACGTAGAAGGGAAACAATAAAATAATAAAACAATAAAATTCTCACGAAAAAAAGTGGCGGTTTTTTCTGAACGTTAACAAAAAAAACGCCAATTTTTATCAAATTTTCTTGCCGTGGTTTTCACACCTGATGATGATTGCTTGTGTTTCAATCGAAACGTCGTGAGAATTGTATTGTTTTATTTTTTATTTTATTATTTCCCTTCTACGTGACTTTACCCAAAGAACCAAGAATATGAATCCCTGCAGTCACGAAAGCTTTAAATCGAAATTTAGTTGTGAACTCGTTAACTAATCTGGCACGTTTTGTTGACGTCACAAAGCTTACCGATTGACCGCGTCCGGTGATGGCGGTTATAACGACGCACATTTCTATTTTACGCGACCCTACCCCAAAAACCAAACGTTGTCACGGATATTTATTGAACCTTCATCTCGAGCGGCTTAAGCGCACGCTTGCACGCGCTCAGTCGCGCAGAGACAAACAAAGCAAAGTGAGAAATTGAGGGTCGAGGGGCAGGCGTAGATATCAAATTGGCAAGGGCCGATCAACTTAAAAGCGCCAGCCTCCAAGAGCCACCGCTATTCCACTCTCGCACATGACGGTGGCGGCATCTCTGTATGCTGTCTACGTTGAACTTCTTTCACACTGTACGTAGCCAACCACGCTAATCGGAGGTGCGGGGGAAGGACAACACTAAGCAAAGAGCAGTTCGCAAGAAATTATTTTCCCAATCGAGATCATTTAAAAGTGCAACATAGCTCCCCTAGTGGCTTCCTGATATCGGCAGGAAGAGCGCGCTCCAGACGGCCGCGGGAGCGCATCTGAAAGCGCCGGGCGAAGCGCTAAACCGTCTCTGTTCGATGGCTCGACAAAAGCTGCTGCTGCTGCTGCTGTTGCTGTGAGGATGACCGGAGTTTGAGTGATGATGGTTCCCTGGCTCCAACATCGAGGCCCTGCTGCTGCTGCTACTGCTGCTGCTGCTACTGCTGCTGCTGTCACAGCAAGAGGGCTTCAGCAGAGAGTGTGTTGCTGCTCTATTAGGAGTAAATTGTACTCGTATATTTTATTTACTTAGTGACTTGCTTACCTCTGCCATACTTTGCTCTACTAATGGTTTTGGCATGGTTTGTTGTTGTAACTTTCTGACTCGCCACTACTGCACAAGAGCGCGATAGTTCACCAGATTCCTCCAGCCTGAATAAAGACTGATTGTGATGGTAATGTCCTGCTGGCCATTACAAGAGGACTTCAACAGTGAGAAGTTTGTGTCGTTTTACTACTCCTCCTCCTCTACTACGGGTGTCCCGGTGGAAATGGATGTTAACTCCCTCGCCTGGTACGCAGGAGGTCGTGGGTTCGATCCCCATCCTGACGCCTGCTGTATATTTGGAGTTTGCGTGTCTCTCTCTCTCATCATCATCACGGTGGCTAGGAGATGTTAACTACCTCGCCTGGTACGCAGGAGGTCGTGGGTTCGATCCCCACCCTGACACCCGCTGTATATTTGGAGTTTGCGTATCTCTCTCCCCCCGTGGTCGCGTGGATTTGTCTCCGAGATCTTCCAGTTTATCCCTCCACATTTAGAATCGACATCGCGCGTTTAGCGAGTATGCGGCTGCTCTAACTTGAGCTGCCACTTGCGGCTAGTTCGCTTCTGAAAAAGAGCTACAGAGCCTTAATTAAAAATAGGGTTTTTCCCCTTTTTTCTGGCAACAAAACTGAAACTTTTTTACAAGGAATCACGTCTGCATTAACCACAATACTTGTGGTCAAAATGCAAACAAAAAGCACACACTGATAATATTTGCATTGTCCTTGAAACTGATTGGTCCACACCAGAGACGGCTTTCTTTTGAGCCAAGTCTCCATTGGTGCTAGACCAGAGTACGCCAAAAGGCGCCCACAGCTCAAAGACAATGCACTATCAGAATAATGAGTGCTCGGGGTGAGCATCTACATTACTAGACCTCCTTTGCCAGTACCAAAACCTATTCTTGTTATTTTTCATACTTTGATACTGGCAAAAATATTCCATTTTACTGGGTTAAAGCCACCCTAACCCGAATATCTAAATGCCCCCCCCCTTACCTGGTAACATAATAGTTTGCGGAAGGAGCGGGGCACGCTACGCCAACGCTGAAAACGTCAACAACGAGAACAAGAGGAGACCCCCCCCCCCACGCGCTCCCCCACTCCCTGGCGGCCCGTGGGCACAGGCTGACCTGGATGACGGCCTCCATCATGGCGACCATGCGGTTGACGAGAGACACGGTGCGACGGAGACGCTCCTCCTCGCTGGCGGAGGAGGCGCTGGCGGTGTTGGGGCTGCCGAGGGTGCGGCGCGCCGCCAGGTAGAGCGCGTAGGTGGGCGACAGCTTGAAGTGCGCCGTCGTGCTGTTGGTGTAGTTCACCACGCCCGCCAGGAAGGCCTCCTCCGCTGTCGGCCGTCGAGGAGGAGGAGGTGTTGTGGGGTAGGGGTGGGGGGTGGGGGAGCAACGACGATGGGGGGGGGGGTGCGTCGATTAACATGTGTGACGCAGGCGGTGGCGGCGGTGGTTGTGGCTGCAGCGGTGGTGGTGGTTGTGGCAGCGCTGGTGGTGGCAGCGGTGTGGTGGTGGTGGCGGTGGTGGTGGTTGTGGCAGCGCTGGTGGTGGCAGCGGTGTGGTGGTGGTGGCAGTTGTGGCAGCGGTGGTGGTGGCAGTGGTGGTGGTGGCTGCAGCGGTGGTGGTGGCTGCAGCGGTGGTGGTGGTTGTGGCAGCGCTGGTGGTGGCAGCCGTGTGGTGGTGGCAGCGGTGGTGGTGGTTGTGGCAGCGCTGGTGGTGGCAGCGGTGTGGTGGTGGTGGCAGTTGTGGCAGCGGTGGTGGTGGCAGTGGTGGTGGTGGCGGCAGTGGTGGTGGTGGCAGCGGTGTGGTGGTGGTGGCAGTTGTGGCAGCGGTGGTGGTGGCAGTGGTTGTGGCAGCGGTGGTGGCGGCAGCGGTGATGGTGGTGGTGGTGGTGACACTCTTGCACCAAGAAGAGCCCGGGTTCAAATCCTGGCTCAGGATGCCTCTAAGTAACCAGCTGCATGCAACTCCACACCCTGGCAACCTTACCAGGCAATCTCCTGTTTAGCCGCGATGAGGGAGTCAGGATCTAAAAAGTGCATAGCTCCAGCGGCTTATAATAAGAGCGCGTTCCAGACGGCCGCAGCCGCGTGCGACGCGGCGACACGGCCGCCGTAGTTGACTCACTCACCTCCTTCTCTCAGCTCCAGCGTGGCCGGCAGATCGATGATTTGAGACGGCTTCTCTTGGCCGCTGCAAGCGCCAGAAAACACGCCGACCCACAGTCACACCAGCGACACAAACTTACAACACAATTAACTCAGACAACATCCTCCTTGGCTCCTCCCCCCCCCCCTCTCTTACCCTATATAATATCACGGTTCTCTAAAACAGCTCTCTTGATTCACTACAGCAATTTTGCTGTGGCGGTTCCACCTGAAGACGGAGGCTTGTGTTGCTTCCGAAACGTCGATTTCATTAAGTTGTTCTCATTTTTTATTTTATTACTTTAATTTGTGATTTAATTTAGTTGTTTTCTTATTGGTTCTGTCGGTAAAGTCGCGTAGAAGGGAAATAATAAAGTAATAAAAATAAAAAATAAATCTATCATGTTTTATTTTTATTATTTTATTATTTCCCTTCTAGGAGGGAAATAATAAAATAATAAAAAATTTCGTGCTTTTATTTAGCTTTTCCCCCTTCTTGAAAGGAAATAATAAAATAATAAAAATGCAACATTTTTTATTATGTTTTATTTTTATTATTTTATTATTTCCCTTCTACGTGACTTTACCGAAAGAACCAAGAAGATGAATCCCTGCAGTCACGAAAGCTTTCAATCGAAATTTAGTTGTTTTCATTTTAATATTTTTTGACCTACGTGACTTTAACGCAAAAAACAAAGCGTACCATCCTCACCGCCGGACTCGGCACCCGGGAGGTCGCTGGTTCGACTCCCGTCCCCCGGTGCAAGTGTCGATGGGGGCGCGTTCGTACCTGGCCTTCATTGGGTGCGCTACTCGCCAACGGCACTTTTCCCCCAACAGTTTGTGAATGATAATTGTTTTTTTACCCTTCTATCTGGCAACAAACCTGACACCTTTTTTACAAGGACTCATGTTTGCATAGACCACAATACCTGCAGTCATAATGCAAACAAAAAACATAACTCTGATAATGTGCACTGTCTTTGATGTTGATTGGTCCACACCCGAGACAGCTTTTCTTAGAGCCTAGTCTCACATGGTGTTGGACCAGATGACGCCAAAAGGCGCACAACTCAAAGACAATGCACCATCAGAGTATGAGAGCTCAGGGTAAAGCATTTACACCATTGGAACCTCATATGCCAGTAAAAAAATATGATAATTGTTTTTTTACCCTTCTATCTGGCAACAAAACTGACACCTTTTTTACAAGGACTCATGTTTGCATAGACCACAATACCTGCAGTCATAATGCAAGCAAAAAACACAACTCTGATAATGTATGCACTGTCCTTGATGTTGATTGGTCCACACCCGAGACAGCTTTCTTTAGAGCCTAGTCTCACATGGTGTTGGATCAGATGACGCCAAAAGGCGCACAACTCAAAGACAATGCACCATCAGAGTATGAGAGCTCAGGGTAAAGCATTTACACCATTGGAACCTCATATGCCAGTAAAAAAATATGATAATTGTTTTTTTACCCTTCTATCTGGCAACAAAACTGACACCTTTTTTACAAGGACTCATGTTTGCATAGACCACAATACCTGCAGTCATAATGCAAGCAAAAAACACAACTCTGATAATGTATGCACTGTCCTTGATGTTGATTGGTCCACACCCGAGACAGCTTTCTTTAGAGCCTAGTCTCACATGGTGTTGGACCAGATGACGCCAAAAGGCGCACAACTCAAAGACAATGCACCATCAGAGTATGAGAGCTCAGGGTAAAGCATTTACACCATTGGAACCTCATATGCCAGTAAAAAAATATGATAATTGTTTTTTTACCCTTCTATCTGGCAACAAACCTGACACCTTTTTTACAAGGAGTCATGTTTGCATAGACCACAATACCTGCAGTCATAATGCAAGCAAAAAACAAAACTCTGATAATGTATGCACTGTCCTTGATGTTGATTGGTCCACACCCGAGACAGCTTTCCTTAGAGCCTAGTCTCACATGGGTTGGACCAGATGACTCCAAAAGGCGCACAACTCAAAGACAATGCACCATCAGAGTATGAGAGCTCAGGGTAAAGCATTTACACCATTGGAACCTCATATGCCAGTAAAAAAATATGATAATTGTTTTTTTACCCTTCTATCTGGCAACAAACCTGACACCTTTTTTACAAGGAGTCATGTTTGCATAGACCACAATACCTGCAGTCATAATGCAAGCAAAAAACATAACTCTGATAATGTAATGCACTGTCCTTGATGTTGATTGGTCCACACCCGAGACAGCTTTTCTTAGAGCCTAGTCTCACATGGTGTTGGACCAGATGACGCCAAAAGGCGCACAACTCAAAGACAATGCACCATCAGAGTATGAGAGCTCAGGGTAAAGCATTTACACCATTGGAACCTCATATGCCAGTAAAAAAATATGATAATTGTTTTTTTACCCTTCTATCTGGCAACAAAACTGACACCTTTTTTACAAGGACTCATGTTTGCATAGACCACAATACCTGCAGTCATAATGCAAGCAAAAAACACAACTCTGATAATGTATGCACTGTCCTTGATGTTGATTGGTCCACACCCGAGACAGCTTTCTTTAGAGCCTAGTCTCACATGGTGTTGGACCAGATGACGCCAAAAGGCGCACAACTCAAAGACAATGTACCATCAGAGTATGAGAGCTCAGGGTAAAGCATTTACACCATTGGAACCTCATATGCCAGTAAAAAAATATGATAATTGTTTTTTACCCTTCTATCTGGCAACAAAACTGACACCTTTTTTACAAGGACTCATGTTTGCATAGACCACAATACCTGCAGTCATAATGCAAGCAAAAAACATAACTCTGATAATGTGCACTGTCCTTGATGTTGATTGGTCCACACCCGAGACAGCTTTCCTTAGAGCCTAGTCTCACATGGGTTGGACCAGATGACGCCAAAAGGCGCACAACTCAAAGTTTGTGAATGGTCGTATGTGGGATCTGTGTCTTTGATGGTGTGGGTATGCGCGAATGCTATCGCCCTGTTTTTTATTATGTACAATTGAATGCACGCTTAGGTGTGCGTGTGTGTGAGCGAGCAACTGTTAGCGCGCTGCACTACAGAACTCTGCAAACCGAGTTTGATTCCTGCTTACGGCCACCAACATCGGTGACAATTATCTGAACCGGTCCTGGGCCTCCCCTAGGTCGACTCGGCCTCAAATGAGAAACATCGACACCTAGGGAGACAAGAGGCGGCCGTGCGTGGTGCTTGCCACCAACACCCTTTCTTGTGTCGTGCCTTCATAGGTGCTGCTCACTAACAGCACTTGCCCCGACAGTCTGTTAAGGCTACACGGGGGACCTTTGTCTGTGTGCTTCTCCAAAGGGCTCTCACCGTAACTCTGACTTGGTAAATTCCACTCTGTCCGGTCGCATCGCAGACCTCCCATCGGCCTGACGCTGCAACAAAGACACGCGCACACACAATGAATTGTGCAGATGTTGTTATCATTATTTTAATGTAAAAATTCCGACAGTTTACCCAGGGAAAGCCTCACCGAGGCCGAATATTTTTTCACGTTTTATCAGGAGGGTCTTGCCAGGGCCTGGCGGCAGCGCGGGGCCAAGTCGCGACTACGTCTAATCCACATTTGCGGGTGATTTTCCAGCAGCGTGATATTTGGCCCACCAGCAGTCGCATCGTACTTTACTTTCTTTTGTTCATCAATAGAAGTAATCCGGTGAATCTTGGGAGGGGAGCCCGTGCAGAACCGGCGGAGAGAATAGAAACTCCACCCGGCAAGGGGTGACCAAGTCGGGCATCAAACCCAGGGGGCTTTTTGTCTGCGAGGCGTGAGTATCGCCACAGCTCCACCACCGAGCGTAGCGGTTAGCGCTACGCTGCGCTACGAAACCGGCGACCCAAGTTCGGTTCCCGCATGCGGCCACCAACACCGATGACGATTATCTGATCCCGTGATCCCGTCCTGGGCCTCTCCCCTAGGTCGACACAGCCTCAAATGAGTACCTAGTGCGGTGTGTAAACATCGCCACTGGGGAGACAAAGGCGGCCGGGCGTGGTGCTGGCCACCCACCCCCTCGTGTGCCGTGCCGGCCTTCATAGGTGCTCGCTAACAGCACTTGCCCCTACAGTCTGTTCAGGCTATACGGGGGACCTTCGCCTGTGTGTGCGCGCGTGCACCCACCTTGGCGTGCGCGTCCGAGTTGCTGTGGACGTCTCCGTCGAGCTCAAACGTGGTCTCGTGCGGCACGGGCACGGGCCCACTACTGCTGCCCGCAGTGGGGAGGACACGCAATAGAGACACACAGACACACAAACACAAAGTCATTCACATGAACACAAAGGCAAATATACCCCGTATAGCCTTTAACAGACTGTAGGGGCAAGTGCTGTTAAGCGAGCACCTATGGAGGCCGGAATGGTACACGAGGGGGTGGCTTGGCCAGAACCACGCCCGGCCGCCTTTGTCTCCCCAGTGGTGATGTCTACACATCACACCAGCTACTCATTTGGTGCTGAGTCGACCTAGGGTAGGCCTAGGACAGGTTCAGATATTCATCAATGGTGCTAGCCATGAGCAGGAATCGAACTCGGGTGGCTGGGTTCATACCGCAGCGCGCTTACCTCTACACGACCGCTCCCCACATAATAAAGATCCCCCATATAGCCTTAACAGACTGTAGGGGCAAGTGCTGTTAGCGAGCACCTATGAAGTCCGGAACGGTACACGAGGGGGTGGGTGGCCAAGCACCACGCCCGACCGCCTCTGTCTCTCCAGTGGCGATGTTTTTACACCGTGTACTCATTTGAGGCTGAGTCGACCTAGGGGAGGCCCAGGACCAGTTCAGATAATCGTCACTGTTGTTGGTCGTGAGCGGGAGTCGAACCCGGATCGCCGGGTTCGTAGCGCAGCGCGCTGACCGCGACACTACCGCTCCCCACCCCCACATAAATACACGTAGACACACACAGTCACAGACACCACACAGTCATTCGTACACACAGACATGATGACTGGGCTGAGACCTGGTTATAAACCTCAGGCAGAGGCGGACAGCCGTGGTAAATGGCCACATCAACCCCTCATGTGCCGTGCGGGCCTTCATAAGTTGCTCCTAATAGCCACCGTTTGTTTACTTACCAGGCAAGGCCTACAGAGAGCTGGCTTTCACAAATGATAGCTCGAAGAAGCGGCTTATCATCGTGTGGGCATTTATAGCAGCAGCCAAATACTCTACACGCACGTTGGTTGATTAATGGTCAAGGGAAAAACCGGAGGACCCCGAGTGAAATCCACGCAACTGCGGGGAGACACGCAAACTCCAAATATACAGCAGCAGGCGTCAGGGTCGGGATTGAACCCACGACCTCCTGCACACCAGGCGAGGTAGTTAACATCTCCTAGCCACCGTGATGATGATGATGAGAGACACGCAAACTCCAAATATACAGCAGCAGGCGTCAGGGTCGGGATCAAACCTCCGACCACCTGTATACCAGGCGAGGTAGTTAACATCTCCTAGCCACCCTAACGCCAACTTCGGGGAGAATATTAAAACTCCAAATATACAGCAGCAGGCGTCAAGGGTCGGGATTGAACCCACGACCTCCTGCGTACCAGCATCCTGAACTCAAGCCACGCGAGCCAACGATCGACGTCCGACCACAACAAATAAAACTATCAACTATTTATTTATTATCTTCCCAGGTAAAGAGGGGCACACGACTGACCTACAATGCATCTCTTCTTCACAAGCGACCCGGCCACCACAAACTATAGCGGCTCAACCAAGTGGCGGCTCATCACGGCGACACGGGGTGGGGGGGGTTGTCACGGACGGCCTCACCTCCTGGCGGTGGCGCGCGCCGGCTCCGTCTCCCCCTCGGCCGCACGGCGGACTCCGCCGGAGGAGACTCCGGGCGGCTCGTGGCCGGGGTCCACGAACTTGAAGACGCTGGCGCGGCCGAAGCGCAGGGTGCAGCCGCTGCGCAGCATGGTGGTCTCCGAGATGCGGCGTCCCTGCACGAAGGTGTCGGCCTCCACGCTGCTCGGCGTCACCGTCACCACGCCCTCCATGTTGGTGACCACGCAGTGCTGCGGCTGGATGCCGGCGCCAAACAGCTGTGCGGCGTGAGGGTGGGTGTGAGGGTGGGTGTGAGGGTGGGTGTGAGGGTGGGAGGGTGGGTGTGAGGGTGGGTGGGCGTGAGGGTGGGTGTGAGGGTGGGTGTGAGGGTGGGTGTGAGGGTGGGTGGGCGTGAGGGTGGGTGTGAGGGTGGGCGTGAGGGTGGGTGTGAGGGTGGGTGTGAGGGTGGGTGTGAGGGTGGGTGTGAGGGTGGGTGTGAGGGTGGGTGTGAGGGGGTGTGAGGGTGGGGTGTGAGGGTGGGAGTGAGGGTGTGAGTGTGGGTGTGAGGGTGAGGGTGGGCGTGAGGGTGGGTGGGCGTGAGGGTGGGTGTGAGGGTGGGTGTGAGGGTGTGAGGGTGTGAGGGTGGGTGTGAGGGTGGGAGTGAGGGTGGGTGTGAGGGTGGGTGTGAGGGTGTGAGGGTGGGTGGGTGTGAGGGTGGGAGTGAGGGTGTGAGGGTGGGTGTGAGGGTGTGAGGGTGTGAGGGTGGGTGTGAGGGTGGGCGTGAGGGTGGGTGTGAGGGTGGGTGTGAGGGTGGGTGTGAGGGTGTGAGGGTGGGTGGGTGTGAGGGTGGGAGTGAGGGTGTGAGGGTGGGTGTGAGGGTGTGAGGGTGGGTGTGAGGGTGGGCGTGAGGGTGGGTGTGAGGGTGTGAGGGTGTGAGGGTGGGTGTGAGGGTGGGCGTGAGGGTGGGTGTGAGGGTGTGAGGGTGGGTGGGTGTGAGGGTGGGAGTGAGGGTGTGAGGGTGGGCGTGAGGGTGGGCGTGAGGGTGGGTGTAAGGGTGGGCGTGAGGGTGTGAGGGTGGGTGTGAGGGTGGGTGTGAGGGTGCTGTGGTGTGAGGGTGTGAGGGTGTGAGGGAGGGTGTGAGGGTGGGAGTGAGGGTGGGTGTAAGGGTGGGTGTGAGGGTGGGCGTGAGGGTGGGTGGGCGTGAGGGTGGGAGTGAGGGTGTGAGGGTGGGCGTGAGGGTGGGCGTGAGGGTGGGTGTGAGGGTGTGAGGGTGGGTGTGAGGGTGGGTGTGAGGGTGGGTGTGAGGGTGGGAGTGAGGGTGTGAGGGTGGGCGTGAGGGTGTGAGGGTGGGTGTGAGGGTGGGGGTGAACCACCCTGTTATTCCACGTGTGTGTGCGTTATAGGTGGTCCAGAAGGATGCGGAGCCGAGTGGACTTGGCCGTTGATGGGCACTCGTGACACACACGCCGCCGGTCGGCCTCAACATACGCACACGCGCGCAGAGAACGGCGGCGGTAGAGGGGGCAAGATACCGGCGCCAGACAGCTGTGTGGTGCCGTGTGGTGGGTGGCGCGGTGGGGCAAGCTGCTAACAGAACTTACTGTACAGGCAGCGGTACGGGGGGGGGGGGGGGACCCCAGAGCAAACAGGAACGGGAAGGGAATAAGTATAACCCGTAAAAACAAAGTTTTTCACTATAAATCCTTTATATGCGTGGCGGCTAGAGTCCTCTCGTCCTCTAACTTGAGATGGCTGCCACCTATGGGTCAGATGATTGTCTGCAGTATTAAACAATTGGTAATTAAATATTTAATTTGTTTTCCCTAAACAGTGTAAAATTTTGGAAAAAAATTTCACGAACATTAATTGTCTCGCACAACGAGTCTGTGTGCAAAATGTCAACTCGATTGGATCACGGGAAGTGGGTTAAAAAACGACCGAAAGGTTTGCACGGTCGTAAGCAAGCAAGCAAGCACGCAAGCGAACTTAATATAAAGGATTTTAAAAAATCAACCCGTGACGACCTCGGAAGGGACCCCTTCCTCCGCACGCGTCGCGAGCCCCTCTCACCTGGATGAACTGCGGCGACGACGTGTCGCTGCCAACCTCCGTCACGTTGAGCTGCAGCCGGTACATCTTGGGCTTGTCCCGCGAGTCCGAGCCGTCTGCACGCGGCACACGGTGGCGAGACGTTCAATGCCTCGCCCGGCACGCCGGGAGGTCGTGGGGCAGAGGTCGCAAACGGGTTTTGATTCCTTACCCGTACCCGGCCGCACCAGCGTCGCAAATAGGTACCCGTACCCGGCCGGGTACGGGTACCCGACCCGTACCCGTACCCTACCCGAAATGAGTGACAAACGGTTACTCACCAGTGACTCACGGCCTACCCGTACCCAGCCGCACCAGGGTCGCAAACGGGTATCCGTACCCGGCTGGGTACAGGTAGCCGGGTATCGGGTAGGGTACGGGTATCGGGTACCCGGTTGCGACCTCTGTCTTGGGGTTCAGGATCGGAATCTCTTATTTTTATACTGGAGGGAATCCGATGGGATGTAAAGCTCTTTTTTTTCCCACAGATGTCCCAGTAGGGCCACGGAGTAAGAACGTTACAACAATAAAAAGTACAAAAAAGGTAAATCACCCAAACACATACAAATACAACTGAACTATTCCCATCCTACCAGGCAAAGCCCAATGAGACATTAACTTATTTTTCAAAAGCGACCTGTACACAAATGACGTGTCTCTCTCACTCTCTCTCTCCATGGTCGTGTGGATTTTTCTCAGGGTCCAAAGTAAAGGAAAGGTAAAAAATATATCTACGTTCAAGCCCATGGAGCTAAAAGATCTTTGGGTTCGATGCCGACCCTTATGCCTGTATGTTTGGAGTTTTCATTTTCTCTCCGTGGTCGCATGGAATTTCCCCTGGGTCCTCGGGTTTATCCCTCCACATTTAGAATCTATCTTCTTGGTTCTTTCGGTAAAGTCACGTAGAAGGGAAGTAATAAAACAATACAAATAAAACATAATAAAATAATTCTCACGACGTTTCGGCCACAACGCAAGCAGCCGTCCTCAGGTGAAGACCAGGTCTGTCGGGGAGACAGCGTCTGAAAGAAACACCACCACGCTTGCAGCGTATATTTAAGCTGGGTTGGAAGGGGGGAAGAGTGCCTTGACAAAATAATTTGCATTAATTCCTCTTGATATGCAAATTATTTTGTCAAGGCGCCCTTCCCCCCTTCCAACACAGCTTAAATATACGCTCCAAGCTTGGTGGTGTTTCATTCAGACGCTGTCTCCCGACAGACCTGTTCATTAACTGAGGACAGCTGCTTGTGTTGTGGCCGAAACGTCGTGAGAATTATTTGATTATGTCTTATTATTTCTTATTTTATTACTTCCCTTCTACGTGACTTTACCGAAAGAACCAAGAAGATGAATCCCTGCAGTCACGAAAGCTTTAAATCGAAATTTTGAATCTACATCGCACGTTCAACAGTATTTAGACTGCTGCTATAAATTTCCACACGATGATGAGCCCATTTCGTCAAGCTATCATTTGTGTCAGCCAGGTCGCTTCTGAAATAGAGCTACATCGCTCAGTGAGCTTTACCTGGTGGGGAGCGGGAAGAATGGTCGTGGCGGGAGGTGAGGGCGGTGGCGGAGGGGTGGTGCAAGCACCGAGCGTCATACAGCTCGGAACGTCAATGCCCGCGCATCAACGTACCCGGCCCGAGACGCAAGCTTTGTTATTTATTTCGATCACCGACTTCCCGGGAACACCCTGAACAAATGAGACGTTCCATCTCAAGGGGATCACGCGGGGTATAAAAAAAGAAAGCACGCAGACGCCGACGGCGAGCGTGCGGGAGTGATAGGGCGGTGAAATGTGGTGGGGGCTCATTCCAGCAGCGGAGAGAGCATGGCTGATGAGGACAATGTCTGGACATCGGGGCCGTTACCTGGAGTCCTGTAAGAGCGGTGGCTGTGGCGACCGCCTGCCGTGTCCAGCAGCAGCAGCAGAGAGATTAACGAGAGGACACGAAGAAGACAGCACGCGGCACGAGAGACACGAGAGACACGAGAGACACGAAAGAGCCGCGGGGGGACATCACGCGCAGCGCGGAGGTGGAGTGCGCGAAGTGGGGAACGAACACCCGTCGTGATCGGCATGCGCGCAAGACGCACACACACAATGTACATGATGCACACACAACAGACAAAACGCATACACACACAATAGACATGATGCACACGCACACAACGGATACGATGCACACACACACACACACAACATGCAAGACGCACACACACACAATGTACATGATGCACACACAACAGACAAAACGCATACACACACACAATAGACATGATGCACACGCACACAACGGATACGATGCACACACACACACAACGTGCAAGACGCACACACAATGTACATGATGCACACACAACAGACAAAACGCATACACACACACAATAGACATGATGCACATGCACACAACGGATACGATGCACACACACACACAACGTGCAAGACGCACACACAATGTACATGATGTACACACAACAGACAAAACGCATACACACACACGATAGACACGATGCACACGCACACAACGGATACGATGCACACACACACAATGTACATGATGCACACACAACAGACAAAACGCATATGCACACACAACAGACAAAACGCATACACGCACACAATGGATACGATGCACACACACACACAACGTGCAAGACGCACACACTACAAGACACACATACACAATTGTACACGATGTACACGACGCACACACGGACAAGACGCGCACCACCGACACGACGCACACGCACGCCGCATCGCACAACTCGCACACCCGACACCAACACACGCTTCACACGTCAAACGCGCACGTGTACGGTCATCGCACGCGAGCGGCAACACACCACACACACAGACGCGGGCGTAACACGCGACGAACTTCACACCGCAACTCATTCAACAACACACGCGCTTGCACCCCCGCGTCGCGGATTTCAAGCGGGCGACGGTTGCCATTAAAATCGAGCAACTGCAATTATCAGACGAGCCACAGGGGGGCGGTGAAGGCCAATCCGCCACCAAATCACGAGCCTTTTCTTACGCACGGCGGCCGATGTAGATGCACTCCCGATGAGCACGGTCGGCTACGTCCGGTGCGAAGGAAGTTCGTTCAATATACACAGAACGTACACACACAGAGCAGCAACCACAATTTCGCATTCAGATGTGCAAGACCAGAAAACCGCGTCAGGAGTCAGCGGAATTAGTTTTATTGCCGTGATGTCTTCTTCGTATTTGTGGATCTCGGGGAATTGCTTTGTTACCCGTCGTACTGTGGTCCTGTTCTTGATGATCCATGGTCGCACGCTACTACTGGAGAGTTTTTAATTTTCCATTTGTGCATCAGGTAGCCGCATCTGCAGCCTTGGTGTGTGCAGTGGATCGCAGTTTAGTGTGGGCCATGAGCTTCGTGGAAGTCACAACTATTTATAAACTTCTTCTTGGTTCTTTCGGTAAAGTCACGTAGAAGGGAAGTAATAAAATAATAAAAATAAAACATAATAAAATAATTCTCACGACGTTTCGGCCACAACGCAAGCAGCCGTCCTCAGGTGAAGAATTCTTCACCTGAGGACGCCTTCTACGTGACTTTACCGAAAGAACCAAGAAGATGAATCCCTGAGGTCACGAAAGCTTTAAATCGAAATTTATTTATAAACTATTTTCTATTTTGCTATTACATTTTTTTTTTAATCAGCTCTTTTTTACTGCAGTGAACCGGCCACAAATGATAGCTCAACGAAGTAGCTTATCGCATGGAATTTATAGCGGCCAAATTTCATGAACAGATGTTGATTCTAAATGTGAAAGGGAAATCCAGAGGACCCAGAGAAAAATCCACGCGACCACAGGGAGAATATTAAAACTCCAAATTTTCAGCAGCAGGCGTCAAGGGTCGTGATTGAACCCACGACCTCCTGTACACCAGGCGAGGTAGTTAACATCTTGCCACCACACACGCCAAGTCACAACACACAAGACAACACGCGGTACAAATGTCATACGCAACAAAGCACATCACGTACAATACAAATGTCATACACTGCACGATACAACACACCGTACATAACACCGCATTACAAATATCACACGATAAGACCGCGTAACATTACACAAACAACGTAATGCTCGCACGCAGAGGACAAGCACACAACAAACATTTTGCAGACTCGTTTCGCCCCAACGCGCGCGCTCACGCACGTACATGCAACGTAGTACAGACACCGTACACAGCACATAGCACAGGGACATCGGGAGGCACGCGGACGCTCACAACGATGGCGCACGCCACAAGTCGTCACACGAAGGGGCAGAGCCCATTAAGGCGTCGTTAGGCTACTAACGGCGCATCCCATCGAGGCAACCCACCACGCCGCCCCCCCGAGACGCAAGCAAACAAAGCGGGGAGACAAACGAGCGGCGTGCGTCCCTCTCGTGTTACACAGGAAAGGGGCCCAGGCCTTGACAGCGAGTCCTCGTTCAACGCGCTCGCAGGTATATGAATGCGGTCCTGAACGGTGTCGCGTTAAGCGAAAACATTTTCACAATTGATAATGTGACGATAAAGTTTGGCGAGATACGATGCACTGCCGCGCGCACGCAGAGTAAAATGCGAATACACAGCGGGCGTCAGGGTCGGGACTAAACCCACGACCCTCCTGTATACCATGCGAGGTAGTTAACATCTCCTTGCCATCGTGATGATGATGAAAGGGAGAGACACGCAAACTCCAAATATACAACAGGTGTCAGGGTGGGGATCGAACCCACGACTTCCTGTGTACCAGGCGAGGGAGTTAACATCTCCTAGCCAACGTGGTGCCACCGGTCGAGACTAACGAGGGAGAGGTCGTACACGACAGATGACATGAGCTCGTGTGAAACAGTCGGGGGTGATGTTGCTTTGGTGGCTAACCCAACTGAATCATTTGCGGTGGGTAGTTTGTCAAATTTGGACAGCGACGCTGACACACAAACGTGCCAGCGTCTAGTCCGGTGTTGATCAGGGTGGCCCCTGTGGTAACGTGTAAACATCGCCACGAGGGAGACAAAGGCGGCCGGGCGTGCCGCTGACCACCCACCCCCTCGTGAGCCGCGCCGGTCTTCGCAGAGGCTATACACGGGGGGAAACTTTGTCTCTGGTATTTACCAGGGTGCATTAAGCAGGGTGCCACCCTGCTTAATGCCGCGCGGTGAGGGCAAGGGGGGGGGGGGGAGAGAAAGAGAGGATTGCCATTTGTTGCGTGCCGAGGTCCGTGACGGTTCGGCGGGGGGGGGGGGGGGGGTAGCATGTGGTCTCAGCGCCCAAATCCCCCCCCTCCCCCCCTCCAGTGGGGGCTGCCAGGAAACCGGTGAATTGTAGGAAACAGATTTTCTTTGCTGGGAAAACCGCGAGCGCCCGGGCCCCCCGGCGCGTCTCACGGCGACGCCAGCTCCTGTCAAGCTCCTCCCAGCAAGCACAAACACAGAGTGCTGGTGCGTGCGTGCGTGCACGCGCGCACGCACCCCGTGTGGTGTGTTTAAAAACATCGCCGCTGGGGAGACAAAGGCGGTCGGGCGTGGTGCTGGCCACCCACCTACCCCCTCGTGTGCCGTGCCGGCCTTAATAGCTCCTCGCGAACAGAACTTGCCCCAACAGTCTGTTAAGGCTATACGGGGGATCTTTGTATTTGTGTGCGTGTACATGGTGGTGTAGCGGTCAGCGCGCTGCATTACGAACCCAAAGTTCGATTCCCGCCCCACGGCCAACACCAGTGACGATTATATTTGAACCAGTCCTGGGCCTCCCCTAGGTCGACTCGGCCTCAAACGAGTACCTGGTGCAATGCGCAAATATCGCTGGTGGAGAGACAAAAGCGGCTGGGCGTGGAGCTGGCCACCCACCCCCCTCGTGTGCCATGCCGGCCTTCATAGGTGCTTCTAGATGCTACCCACGCGCGTCTGTTTTTTTGCTCGGTCTGTGTACACAATGCAAAAAGCATAAAAATAGACTTTGGTATTTTTCGATTTAAAGCTTTCGTGGCTGCAGGGATTCATCTTCTTGGTTCTTTCGGTAAAGTCACGTAGAAGGGAAACAATAAAATAATAAAAATAGCGACTGTTCTTCAGGAAAGCAACTACCGCCGCGTTGTACGAGAACAGGCCGTACTGCCTATCCACCCCAGAGGTCGCAAACGGGTTTTGATTCTTTACCCGTACCTGGCCGCACCAGGGTCGCAAACGGCTGCCCGTACCCGGCCGGGTATGGGTAGCCGGGTATAGGGTAGGGTACGGGTATCCGGTACCCGGTTGCGACCTCTGATCCACCCCACGCCACCAGTCCCCCCCCCCCATCGTCCCCCGAGCCCTTCCCACCGCCACCCCCTGACACCCCACCACCCGGCCGTAGCTGGGCCAAGCGCCACTAGTTAGGGGAGCCTCGTAAGCGACCTTTCGTGACTGCAAGGATTCATATTCTTAGGTTTTTTCGGTAAAGTCACGTAGGTAAAAAAAAATCAAAATTAATAAAAAATAAAAATAAAATAAAAATCACGACGTTTCGGAGGCAACACAAGCTTCCGTCTTCAGGTGGAACCGTCACAGCACGATAGCTGTATCAAGTGGTACAGCCGTCACAGCACGATAGCTGTATCAAGTGGTACAGCTATCGTGCTGTGACAGTTCCACCTGAAGACGGAAGCTTGTGTTGCCTCCGAAACGTCGTGATTTTTATTTTATTTTTATTTTTTATTAATTTTAATTTTTTACCTACGTGACTTTACCGAAAAAACCTAAGAATATGCCGTTTCATCATCTTCGTCGTCGGCGTCGTCGCATGCAAATTCATAGCGGCAGTCAAATATACTCTAAACACGCACGTCGATATCGAAAACGCGGAACGGGGGGGGTGTAAAAACCATCGACGATTAATCCGAGACGGGCGTCGCCGCCCTTGTCCTGCCTCTCCTAACCCCCACCAGTCCCCCCCCCGTCACACCCCCCATAGCCCCCCACCCCATCACACTCCGGCCGGCCGTACCAGGGCTGAGCTCCACGAGGTACGGGAGCCTGTCGGGCGGCGGCGCCGCTCCGTACGCGTCGTGCCCGGAGCCGGCGTCGGCTCCAGTGGCTGCGTCGCCGCCGCCACCGCCACCACGCCGGCGCTCCTCCTGCCCCTCCCCGGCAGCCTTGCCCACCACCCCCTTGTGCTGCTGCTGCTGCTGCTTCTTCCGTCGCGCCGCCACGTCCTCCTTCTTGCGCAGCTGGAAGACCAGCACGCCTGCTCTCGCCGCACGAGCACACACGCACGCACGCGCCGGTTATTGAGGAGGTGGAGGTGGAGGTGGTGGTGAAGGTGGTCGTGGTGGTGGTGGTGAAGGTGGTCGTGGTGGAGGTGGAGGTGGTGTTTAAGGTGGTCGTGGTGGTGGAGGTGGTGTTTAAGGTGGTCGTGGTGGAGGTAGTGTTTAAGGTGGTCGAGGTGGTGGTGTTTAAGGTGGTCGTGGTGGAGGTGGTGGTGGTGTTTAAGGTGGTTGTGGTGGAGGTGGTGGTGGTGTTTAAGGTGGTCGTGGATGAGGTGGTGGTAGTGTTTAAGGTGGTCGAGGTGGTGGTGGTGGTGTTGAAGGTGATGGTGGTGTTGGTGTTGAAAGTGGTCGTGGCAGTGGTCGTGGTGGTGTTGATGGTGGTCGTAGTGGCGGTGCTCGTGGTCGAGGTGGTGGTGTTGACGGTGGTTGCGGTCAAGGTGCTGATGGTGGTAATTGTGGTGTTCGCGATGATGAACACCATGAAGAGGAGGTGATGGCGGCGAGATGTTAACTCCCTTGCCTGGGTTGCAGGAGGTCGTGGGTTCGAACCCTTCCCTGATGCCTGCTGTATATTTGGAGTTTGCGTGTCTCTCTCTTTCCCCGTGGTCACATGGAACTTTTCTCCAGGTCCTCCGGTTTTTCCCTCCACATTTATAAATCAACATGACGCGTTCATAGCATTTGGCTACCGCTTTAAATTTCCACGTGACGATAACGATGAGAGCCACATCGTTGGCTCATCATCATCGTCGGCGCATCAATAGAAAACAATTAACCCGTAAAAACAACGTTTTTCACTATAAATCCTTTATATGCGTGGCGGCTAGAGTCCTCTCATCCTCTGGCTTGAGATGGCTGCCACCTATGGGTCAGATGATTGCCTGCCACCATTAAGCAATTGGTAATTAAATCTAATATTTTATTTCCTGAAAAGTGTAAAGTTTTGGAAAAAAATTTTCACGAAAATAAATTGTCATGCACAACGAGTCTGTGTGCAAAATGTCAGCTCGATTGGATCACGGGAAGTGGGTTAAAAAACGACCGAAAGATTTGCACGGTCGTAAGCGCGCAAGCAAGCGAACTTAATATAAAGGATTTAAAAATTAACCTGTAAAAACAAAGTTTTTCACTATAAATCCTTTATATGCATGGCATCGGTTTTATTTCAGCCCACATTGGTGTTTGAAACGGGCGGCTAGAGTCCTCTCGTCCTCTGGCTTGAGATGGCTGCCACCTATGGGTCAGATGATTGCCTGCCACCATTAAGCAATTGGTAATTAAATAGAAAAAAAAATTCCTAAAAAGTGTAAAATTTTGGAGAAAAAAAATTTTCACGAACATTAATTGTCTCGCACAACGAGTCTGTGTGCAAAATGTCAGCTCGATTGGATCACGGGAAGTGGGTTAAAAAACGACCGAAAGATTTGCACGGTCGTAAGCAAGCAAGCACGCAAGCACGCAAGCACGCAAGCAAGCAAACTTAATATAAAGGGATTTAAAAAAAGAGCTACGAATGGGCTTTACTCGGCAGGGGAAACAAAACTTCTGCAACCTCTGAGCATGTCGTCCCAATGCGGCCTCACCGTCCTCAGCGGGCCACTCCACCAGGATGTTGAGAGGGCAGTCCTGGTCGTCTAGCGCCGTTTCCAGGCCTTCGCGTCGCACCGCCTCCTCCATCATGTCGCTGTCGGGCGGCAGCACCAGCTGCAGCGGTGGACGAACGGAGAAACAAAAAAAACGACAACAACAAAGTTGGGGCGGTCCGTACCCAACGAGCTCTCGCCGGCGAGCGGCAACGAACGGGCGACACGAAAGCGCCAGCGAGCGAACATGGGCAAGCGCCTGTGTGTCAGAATCAGAACACTTTGTTTGGATTGGAGGAGGAAGGGGGGGGTGGGGGGAGGGTGAGAACTTTAGGACAACTAAAAAATACAAAAACACGATACGGGTGCAAAGTATAGGAAAGGTAAATTAATCTTCTTGGTTCTTTCGGTAAAGTCACGTAGAAGGGAAGTAATAAAATAATGAAAATAAAACATAATAAAATAATTCTCACGACGTTTCGGCCACAACGCAAGCAGCCGTCCTCAGGTCATGAGAATTATTTTATTATGTTTTATTTTTATTATTTTATTACTTCCCTTCTACGTGACTTTAACGAAAGAACCAAGAAGATGAATCCCTGCAGTCACGAAAGCTTTAAATCGAAAGGTAAATTCATTTGTCAAGGCGCTCTTCCCCCTCCAACCCAGCTTAGATATACGCTTCCAAGCCTGGTGGTGTTCATTCAGACGCTGTCTTTCCGACAGACCTGTTCTTCGCCTGAGGACGGCTGCTTGCGTTGTGGCCGAAACGTCGTGAAAATTGTATTTTATGTTTTATTTTTATTATTTTATTACTTCCCTACTACGGGACTTTACCGAAAGAACCAAGAAGGTAAAGAAATCACTTACAATAATATACATGAATAAAACTACACACGTAAAACTTCTTTCGCACCGTATGCAGCCAACCACGTTAAATCAGAGGTGCGGGGGGAGAGGTGGAAGGACATTTTGGCGTGCAACCTGGGCCGCTGAAGCCCGCTGAGGCCCGCTGAGGCCCGCTGAGGCCCGCTGGGGTTGCTGGGGATCGTTGGGGGCCGATAAGAACCACTCACCCTGGCCAGGCAATAGTTGGCGGGGTCTTCCCGCTCCAGGCCGTACTTATCCAGCACCTCGCGCACCACAAACTCGGCGGGGTCCGACAGAGACACGAGCAGCGTCTTGTAGGGGATCGTCGGCCTGAGGCTGTCGGCAAACACCCGCAGCATCCCGCCTGCCCACGCGCAAAGACAAAGATCCCCCCCCCCCCCCGTATAACCTTAACAGACTGTTGGGGCAAGTGCTGTTAGTGAGTAGCAGAACCGATGGTGGTCGGCACAACGCCCGGGTCGCCTAGTGGCGATGTTCATATACCACACCAGGTCCTCATTTGAGGCCGAGTCGACCTAGGAGGCCCACGGCCAGTTCAAATCATCATCACTGGTGTTAGCCGTGAGCGGAAATCGAACTCGGGCCGCCGTGTTCGTAGCGCAGCGTGCTAACAGCTACATTACTGCTCCCGTATCCACACATACAACAGACACACAAACACGGATATAGCTAGACAAAGAAGCGTTGCTCATGTTATTGCTCATGCATTTCGGTGTTGCAGTGTTGCTATTATGTTGATGTTCACCAAACACTATTGCCCATGCGTTGAATTGTTGCTACTGTGTTGCAGCCTTGCTCACGTGTTGATAATGTCACTGCGCATCCGTTTGTGTTGCAGCATCACGACTGTGTTGCTCAAATGTTGCAGCATTGCTATTATGTTGCTAACACTATTGCCCATGCTTTGAATTGTTACTACCGTGCTGCAGCGTTGCTCATGTGTTTCAGCGTTGCTATTGCGTATGTACGTTGAACTTCTTGTCCACCGTACGTAGCCAACGGAGCTAACTGGAGGTGCGGGGGAAGGTCAACAAACAACGCGACACGTCACTACACACGTGTAGCGACACGTCATACAAACGTGTCGCTACTCGTCACTACACACGTGTCGCTATACACGTGTCGCTACTCGTCACTACACACGTGTCGCTACACGTCACTACACACGTGTCGCTACTCGTCACTACACACGTGTCGCTACTCGTCACTACACACGTGTCGCTACACACGTGTAGCGACACGTCATACACACGTGTCGCTACTCGTCACTGCGCACGTGTAGCTACACGTCACTACGCACGTGTCGCTACACGTCACTACGCACGTGTCGCTACTCGTCACTACGCACGTGTCGCTACTCGTCACTACACACGTGTCGCTACTCGTCACTGCGCACGCGTAGCTACACGTCACTGCGCACGCGTAGCTACACGTCACTGCGCACGCGTAGCTACTCGTCCTGCGCACGCGTAGCTACTCGTCACTGCGCACGCGTAGCTACTCGTCACTACACACGTGTCGCTACTCGTCACTACACACGTGTCGCTACTCGTCACTACACACGTGTCGCTACTCGTCACTACACACGTGTCGCTACACACGCGTAGCGACACGTCACTGCGCACGCGTAGCTACACGTCACTGCGCACGCGTAGCTACACGTCACTGCGCACGCGTAGCTACACGTCACTGCGCACGCGTAGCTACTCGTCACTGCGCACGCGTAGCTACTCGTCACTGCGCACGCGTAGCTACTCGTCACTGCGCACGCGTAGATACTCGTCACTGCGCACGCGTAGCTACTCGTCACTACGCACGCGTAGCTACTCGTCACTACGCACGCGTAGCTACTCGTCACTACGCACGCGTAGCTACTCGTCACTACGCACGCGTAGCTACTCGTCACTACGCACGCGTAGCTACTCGTCACTACGCACGCGTAGCTACTCGTCACTACGCACGCGTAGCTACTCGTCACTACGCACGCGTCGCTACTCGTCACTACGCACGCGTCGCTACACACGTGTCACTACACACGTGTCACTACACGTCACTACACACGTGTAGCTACACGTCACTACACACGTGTAGCTACTCGTCACTACACACGTGTAGCTACTCGTCACTACACACGTGTAGCTACTCGTCACTACACACGCGCCGCTACTCGTCACTACACACGCGCCGCTACACGTCACTAGACACGCGTCGCTACACGTCACTAGACACGCGTGTAGCTACACACGCGTAGCTACACACGCGTCGCTACACACGCGTCGCTACACACGCGTAGCTACACACGTGTCGCTACACACGTGTCGCTACACACGTGTCGCTACATGCCACTACACGTGTCGCTACTCGTCACCACACATGTGTCGCTACACTTCACCACACACGTGTCACTACACACGTGTAGCTACTCGTCACTACACACGTGTCGCTACACGTCGACCGTGACACGCACCGGAGCGGGGCCGCCCGTCGTCCCCGTGGAACTCCTGCAGACGGCGCTCCAGCTTCTGCTGGCGCCGCCGCTTCATGACGACCTCGGGGTTGGAGATGGTGCGCGTGAAGCTCGTCTCGGGCATCTCCTTGTAGACCTCCTCCGCCACGCCCGCACTGAGCACGCAACAAAGACAAAGATCCCCCCCTTTAACAGGGTGTTGGGGCGAGCGCTGTTAGCGAGTAGCAGCTATGAAGGCCGGCGTGGCGCACGAGGTGGTGGGTGGCCAGCACCGCGCCCGGCCGGCCGCCTTTGCCTCCCGAGCAGAGGTCTCAACCGGGTACCCGATACCCGTACCCTACCCGATACCCGGCTACCTGTACCCGGCCGGGTACGGGTACGAGTACCCGTTTGCGACCCTGGTGCGGCCGGGTACGGGTACGGGTAGGCCGTGAGTCACTGGTGAGTCACCGTTTGTCACTCATTTCGGGTAGGGTACGGGTAGGGAACGGGTACCCGTACCCGGCCGGGTACGGGTACGAGTACCCGTTTGCGACCCTGGTGCGGCCGGGTACGGGTACGGGTAGGCCGTGAGTCACCGTTTGTCACTCATTTCGGGTAGGGTAGGGTACGGGTAGGGAATGGGTACCCGTACCTGGCTGGGTACGGGTACCCATTTGCGACCCTGGTGCGGCCGGGTACGGGTACGGAATCAAAACCCGTTTGCGACCTCTGCTCCCGAGTGGCGACGTTTACGCACCGTACCAGGTGCTCATTTGAGTCGACCTCGGGGGGAGGCTCAGGTCGCGATCGCACACTTGCCACTGGTGTTGGCCGTGAGCGGGAATCGAACTCGGGTCGCCGGTTTCGTAGCGCAGCGTAGCGCTAACCGCCACACAATTGCTCCCCGCACACACACAGAGACTCCTACCTCCAGATTTGAAGCTTTCGTGACTGCAAGGATCATACTCTTAGTTCTTTCGGTAAAGTCACGTAGGTAAAAAATTTATTTTATTTTTATTAATTTTAATTTCATTTTTTACCTACGTGACTTTACCGAAAGAACTAAGAGTATGACTCCTACCTCCCCCTTTTCCACTGACACAGTATCAGAATATTTTTTTACGCTGGTGGAATCCGATGACCTACAAAGCTCTTTTTCGCAGATGTCCGGTAGTTTCACATATATCCACTGGCACATCCGAGCCAAACCAGCGCGGGGGCCCTCACGGTACGGGTGGTCGGGATTGGCACCCACGTTCAATTGTACACCATGCAAGGTGCCTGGCCTGTCGCATCGCGAGACGGTGAGAGAAATGTCAAAGGCTTGGGGAGGCCTTCATCCAGCAGTGGGATTTGCGCTGGCTGATGATGATGACGATGATCACAGCGATTGTAATTGTGCTGCAGTACACGCACGAATAGCGCTGTGTCAATGCAGAAAATGGCTTGAGATTACAAAAGTAGGGCGGGGGTGGGGGTTGCAAAAGCTTAGGCAGGATTAAATAGACAATAACGGGCGTTAAAACCTCAGAACCGGACACGTTTGGCAGTTGGATAGAATTCAACTGTGGGCACTGTATGCAATGTAAACACAATGCCCTGTGTTTTAGTGTGGCGAGGAATGGTGGCGCCTAGGTGGCGAGATGTTAGCTGCCTCGCCTGGTGTACAGGAGGTCGTGGGTTCTATCCCGATTCTGACGCCTGCTGCTGTATATTTGGAGTTTGCGTGTCTCTGTCATCATCATCACGGTGGCTAGATGTTAACTACCTCGCCTGGTATACAGGAGGTCGTGGGTTCGATCCTGACCCTGACGCATGCTGCTGTATATTTGGAGTTTGCGTGTCTCTGTCATCATCATCACGGTGGCTAGGAGATGTTAACTACCTCGCCTGGTATACAGGAGGTCGTGGGTTCGATCCTGACCCTGACGCATGCTGCTGTATATTTGGAGTTTGCGTGTCTCTCTCTCATCATCATCATCACGGTGGCTAGGAGATGTTAACTACCTCGCCTGGTATACAGGAGTGCGTGGGTTCGATCCTGACCCTGACGCCTGCTGCTGTATATTTGGAGTTTGCGTGTCTCTCTCTCATCATCATCATCACGGTAGCTAGGAGATGCTAACTACCTCGCCTGGTATACAGGAGGTCGTGGGTTCGATCCTGACCCTGAGGCCTGCTGCTGTATATTTGGAGTTTGCGTGTCTCTCTCTCTCTCTCCCCGTGGTCGTGTGGATTTATCTCCGGGTCCTCCGGTTATTCCCTCCACATTTAGAATCAAGCATCACGCGTTTAGAGTTATTTCGCCGCTATAAATTTCGACACGACCATAAGCCACTTCGTTGAGCTATCATTTGTGATAGGCGGGTCTTTTATGAAAAACAGTTACATAGCTCAGTGGGCCTTAGCTGGTAAAATAAAAAAAACAGTATTTAGAAGAATGTGTTGGGAAACAGACATGATTAACAATGATAATTTACATTCGTAAGGTGGCGCATTTCATCATTAAATCCCAATCCTCTGTTTGCGGAAAACAGGAAATAAAGACAACGTGTAGGGTACACGTCCAGGGGTCGAGTGGGGGAAGTAAAAGCCGGTTTACAGAGGTGAGTTTTCAAGACGGGACTTTAAATATAGCTCTAACAACTCCGATTGTCTAATCAGCACCGGGTGAAGCGTCGTTTCAAAGCTTGGAGAGCGGCCGCACGCAGTGGACCCGCTCAGCCATGGCAGGTCACGTGCCTTGACCTCGGAGAACTCGGAAGGCGATCCCGAACGTCTCAGGCGACCTATCGTTGGTGTAAGGATCCATACTGTTTGGTTCTTTCGGTAAAGTCACGTAGGTAGAAAATATAAAATAAATAAAATCACGACGTTTCAGGCGCAACACAAGCGTCCTTCATCAGGTGGGACAACCACAGCAAGAAACACAATTGCTTAAGTAGTATTTAATTTTCTTGGTTCTTTCGGTAAAGTCACGTAGAAGGGAAATAATAAAATAATAATAAATTATGAAAATAAAACATAATAAAATAATTCTCACGACGTTTCGGCCACAACGCAAGCAGCCGTCCTCAGGTGAAGAACAGGTATGTCGGGGAGACAGAGTCTGAATGAGGACGGCTGCTTGCGTTGTGGCCGAAACGTTGTGAGAATTATTTTATTATGTTTTTTTTACGTAACTTTACCGAAAGAACCAAGAAGATGAATCCCTGCAGTCACGAAAGCTTCAAATCGAAATTTAGGATTTAATTTATTTTATATTTTATACCTACGTGACTTTCCCAAAAGAACGAAAGAGTATGTATAAAGACGGACCCCAGTTCGTGTAAATATCTACAACCTCACTCAACATATAGTAGTAGGTATTTACCCTTTCAACTGGTACAAAAACTGACACCTTTATAGAAGGCATCATGTTTGCAATAACCACAACAAAAGCAGTCAAAATGCAAACAAAAAGAAACAACTCTTATGATGATAATGATATGCACTGTCCTTGAAGTTGATTGGTCCACACCCGAGACAGCATTTTCTTAGAGCCTAGTCTCCATTGGTGTTGGACCAGATGACGCCAAAAGGCGTACAACTCAAAGACAGCGCACTATCAGAGTATTGAGAGCTCGGGGGTAAGCATTTACACTATGAGACATCTCCTTTACAAACATGATGGTGTCAGTTTTTGTACCAGTTGAAAGGGTAAATACCTACTACTATATGTTGCCACTGGTAAAGGAGATGTCTCAGTGTAAATGTTCACTCAACATCCCGACCCGAGGTAGCCCGGACCGGCAAAATTAATCGTCAAAACCCTACAAATAAAATTCGACGCTAAACCCACGTTGACATCCATTGGGATTCATCACAAACAAGTGGTGGGGAGTGGGGTAGTGGCACGATGGTTAGCGCACCGTGAGTTACGAACCCGGCTCCTCACCTCGATGCTCGGCCACGGCTGACAGTGGCGAGCGATATGCGGAGTCCTCTGTGTTCCGCCCCCCCCACTCTTCACCAACCCGCATTGGACCAGTGTGGTGAAGTACGGTCGTGCAACACGCAACCAATATAAGAGGAGCCATTTAAGATTTTCGAATTCGGTACACCCAATATTTCAAGAGCCACAATGCAATGTGGCGAACATACGAGGCTGTTGGTCATTGATAAATAACGCCAAGAAGGAGCCCTTATTTTTACGGACAGCGCTTTGAGATGCTACAATATGAAAGGCGCTTTATAAAATGGAGGGTATTATTATGATTAATAACTCTGCAACTATTACCATTTGCTTCTATCACAGTCCTTCATTTCATTGGCATTTCGAGAGTGGTCGTTGATACCGTTATTATCGGCGTTCTATTTCGCTTAGATTTTTTTCTTTATTTGCGAGTGTAGTTTTAGTTCTACGCACAGCGCTTTTGAGACCATTCAATGTGAAAGGCGCTTTTATAAAATAGACGTTGTTATTGTTTCGATTTAAAGCTTTCGTGACTGCAGGGATTCATCTTCTTGGTTCTTTCGGTAAAGTCACGTAGAATGGAAATAATAAAATAATGAAAATATAACATTTTTGTTATGTTTTATTTTTATTATTTTATTATTTCCATTCTACGCGACTTTACCGAAAGAACCAATAATTTGTTATTGTTATTATTCAAGAGCCGCCACGCACGTTCAGGGCCACAGGTCGCCGACCCCCGACCCCCTGCCCATGACCGATTGACGGTTAGTGTGGGGGGGAGGGAAGGGGCCTTCATCCAGCAGTGGATTAACAAGAGGGCTGCACGTGTGACACGAGCGCGACCGACCCAAGTGAATGACGAAGCGTGAATATCGACACGGCCAAACTCGGCGCCCGCAGAGCCTGACAGGCTGTGGAGGCCCAACTTGAACCCCAAAATCCCCCCCCCCCCCCCGGGGAGCAGCGCGTGCTCAATTTTAAATCCTTCGTCTTGTACAAGCAACCCAACAATGCCGACATTAATTAGCGTTACCATCTGCTTTGGCTTATTAACCCTATCCAGTTCTGACGCACGTAGGTGTACGTCGTCAAAGCGAAACCGGAATAAAAATATAAGTAAAAATAACCTCATCGGTACACCGAGGCTACCAGAGTTTGGCGCCGGCTATCGTAGAGTGGCGGCGGTCGTGCCGCTGCGCTTCTCCGCGGTGAGTAACGACGTCTTTAAAAACGACGGGGGCTGCTGCTGCTGCTGCTGCTGCGCCTCTCTAAACAAAATAAACGCCGAGGCGCTCGCGCGTACCGAGATTCGTCGGTGAACAGGGACACCCACTACCCACCCTGCAACTTGCAGACGACTCGAAACGGGAAAGGGGTTAAATAACGCGGAAATGAACCGTGCGAGCGACAGGCGGGAGACCCCGCACGCACGGGCGCTTGCACGTACACAGAGAGAGAGAAAGAAACCTTCGCAAATTAAAATCACGCTCGGTGATTCCGCGCTAAATTGGAACATGCGGTGGCCGCCACGGTGCGGCACGAATGCCACGCTCCGCCACTGATGCCATGTTCATTACCAACAACGGCGCCTGGGCAAGGGAGGTCGGGGATTATCTTTGCGGCGCAAGTGATTGTTGCCACTGCTGATGCCTTGCGTGGGATCTTTGTCCATCGCAAGGTTCGGACATTAGGAGTAGAATTCATGATTTAAAACATTTTTTGGGGGCTAGGCCACGCAATGATTTCGCAAATTGCTAAATCAGAATCACATAAATGATTATTTGAGAAATTTGGTTGCGAGACTCATCAACTCACCAGTGAGCGTGAGTTAAAACAATAATAAATTGTGCATCGTTAACAAATTAATTTGTTTGGCTGTGTCGGTTTGGTGGGGTTTTAAAACACAAATTTACTTAGATCATAACATGGCTCAACCCAAAATTCAACGACGAAAAACTGGCAGCGTAAACCTACTACGTGTTAGGCAAGAGTTCATATTATAGGCCTGCGGAAACCTTACGTTGAGAGTGGACATGTGTGTATGAACCTATGGCACCTGGGTCTGTCCCATGACCTCCTTTCAACGAGCCTTCGACACTTCCCGTGGCCTCGAAGTGCACCTGGCCTGGCACAAGCGCCGTGGAGATGTCATCGCCACTTAGTGACGAACGCTGGCTATTGCTGTTGTTGTTGTTGATTAACAAAATCACGTAAATGATTATATGCCGAGTGGATGCCTGGATTCCAACCCGGATTTCTTTTAGTGCAGAGCTAAGCGTCGCTCAGTCACCCCAGTAATCCCAAATGCAATTTGTTTTCCTGGCCCCCTTTGTACAAGAAATATAATAAAATATATAAATTGGGAAAACAATTTTGCCGCAACAAGGAGCTGCGATTGTCCCATGTGATTGCCCTGTGTTTTGTTGGCAATCGAAAGCAAAGATTCACTCCCAAAGGATACACAGCATTTAGCCGCGTGAGCACCCGATAAGGGAAGGGAAGTTATCGACCATCAACTGAGGATGGTATAAAACCCATAAGGGGTGTGGTGTGGGGGTACGGTGGGGAGGGGGGCTAGAGAGACAAAGCTGGTGTGGCACATGTGTTGCTTGACACAGCACCATGAAATATGTGACCATCGCAAAGAATTTTCGATTTAAAGCTTTCGTGACTGCAGGGATTCATCTTCTTGGTTCTTTCGGTAAAGTCACGTAGAAGGGAAATAATAAAATATTAAAAATAAAACATAATAAAATTTCGATTTAAAGCTTTCGTGACTGCAGGGATTCATCTTCTTGGTTCTTTCGGTAAAGTCACGTAGAAGGGAAATAATAAAATATTAAAAATAAAACATAATAAAATTTCGATTTAAAGCTTTCGTGACTGCAGGGATTCATCTTCTTGGTTCTTTCGGTAAAGTCACGTAGAATGGAAATAATAAAATAATAAAAATAAAACATAATAAAATTTCGATTTAAAGCTTTCGTGACTGCAGGGATTCATCTTCTTGGTTCTTTCGGGAAAGTCACGTAGAATGGAAATAATAAAATAAAACATTATAAAATAATTCTCACGACGTTTCGGCCACAACGCAAGCAGCCGTCCTCAGGTGAAGACCAGGTCTGTCGGGGAGACAGCGGTGAAGACCAGGTCTGTCTCCCCGACAGACCTTGTCTTCACCTGAGGGCGGCTGCTTGCGTTGTGGCCGAAACGTCGTGAGAATTATTTCATGTATTATTTTATTATTTTATTATTTCCATTCTACGTGACTTTACCGAAAGAACCAAGAAGAAGACATCGCAAAGAAGTTTGGGCAGAGGAACGGGTCAAATGCATTTGTATATTTGGTGTTTGCATGTCTCTCGCACATTTAGAATCAACATCACACGTTTATCGAATTTGGCTGCTATAAATGTCCACATGATAGATGATGAAAAGCCACTTCGTTGAGCCACCATTTGTGATGGCCACGTCGCATGTGAAAAAAATAGTTTAAAAGATAAAGGTGCAATCTTGCAACTGCTGGAAAAGGTGACCAAGTATTCTCTATGGGGGCTCTATCTGTGCGAGTTTCTTAAAACCCTCCTTTCCCACCCACCTACCCGCCTGTCCACCGCCGAGTTCAACCGCAGTTACGTCTCTAATGGTGCTGCTGTCGCCTGTAGGCCAAAACAACCTCACTCTCTGCATGCACTGTACGGAGATCGTCTTCGGCACCGTACCAAGCCAACCAACCTAGTGGATGCTCTTCTAGCAGTAGCAGCCGAGCGAGCGATTGCAGGGCTGTGCTCCCTACAACGGCGCATGCCCGAGCAGCGCGTTATTAGACTCATCGCCGGGCATGAAACGCTCGGTAAAATTCACGACTCGCTCCGTTTGCCGGGACAAAAGGCCGCACGGCGTGACGCTTTGGCGCTCATTTATTTACACAGCTCCCACTCCCTCCCCCCGCCGCCACCACTCTCCTTGAAGAGCCTCGTTTTATCAAATAATTATATTTCAAAGGTTCCCCCCCCCCCCAACTTCAAAATTTCCACTCTCTCACCGCCGTTACCTAACTGCCCCCCCCCCAACGCGTCGGTAACCAAACGCGTTTTTTAAATTAATTTCGTTCTCCACAAGAGGGTTTTTTGGGGTCAGATCGCGTCAATATAAATGTGTGTCGTTACCTCGACACGACCAATAAGTAAGGTTTGTCACGTAAACAGAGCACGCCAATTTGTTACTAGTATAATGACCGAGGACAGTCAGGATGTCAAAGGTTCCCCCCCCCCCCCCCACAACTTCAATATTTCCACTCTCTCACCGCCGTTACCTAGAGAGGGCCTCCAGAGCGATTGGTCGGGAGACGAGCGTTCAAAGGGATTGGAGGAGAGATTTTGAACGTAAAATGCGGGAAAAGCGAGGGCGGACAGTAGGGGTGACGGTTGACCACCGTTGGTGGAGGAGGTTTGGATTAAGTGGGGCGAGCGAGCCACCAGAAAGGGGGTCTCGGGCAGTATAACAGGGGAGGGCACACGGAGAAGGTGACGTTCGGAAAGAGTTCAAGCATCGAAAACAAAGCCCGGGCCTAGTGTTGGTGCTGTGCCTAAATAAAAGGCTCCGAGTAGCAATGTGTGTCGGTGTCATTACACTAGTTCAGCACACCGATGTGTTGGAGAGTAAACACCCCCAGTGGATTGTGGGTTTACTCTTCAACACACCCATACCTGTCAACCCGTACGGTTTACCCGTATTTTTGTACAGGGAAATTGAGTCTTCAGGTCCATACGAAGTACAGCCGTTTCAATATGGGCAACAAGAAAATAATGTCTATTTGTTTGTGTTTATTATTTATTTTATTTTATTATTTCCCTTCTACGTGACTTTACCGAAAGAACCAAGAAGATGAATCCCTGCAGTCACGAAAGCTTTTAAACGAAAAATTGTTTATTTATTCTTCGCACAGGCAAGGGGGGGGGGATCTTTACGACCTGGTGTCCTCATGCGCGCGTACGTGTGTACATGTACGTGTGCGCGTGCACGTGTGTACATGTACGTGTGCGCGTGTGCACGCGTGTACATGTACGTGTGCACACGTGCACGCGTGTACATGTACGTGTGCGCGTGTACGTATGTACATGTACGTGTGCGCGTGTACATGTGCGTGTGCGCGTGTGCACGTGTACATGTACGCGTGTACGCGTGTACATGTACGTGTGCGCGCGTACGCGTGTACATGTACGTGCGTACGCGTGTACATGTACGTGTGCGCGTGTACATGTACGTGTGCGCGTGTACATGTACGTGTGCGCGTGTACATGTACGCGTGTACATGTACGTGTGCGTGCGTACGCGTGTACATGTACGTGTGCGCGTGCCGTGCGTGTGTGTGCGTGCGCAGCCACCTGTCGGCCTGCGGGGCTGCGCCAACGTCGGGGGCGTTCTCCTCGTCCTCCTCGCAGCGCGACGACGCCTCCCTCTCCCGCCTCTTCTTCTCCTTGCGCTCCTTCTTGGACAGCGTGCGCTTGAAGTTCTGCATCACGCCCTCCTTCTCCGCCTTGCCGGCACCGTTGCGCTCCACCTTCTGCGACACGCGCGGCCAGGTGACACACGCGATAGAAGGGTTGGGGAAGGGTAGGCCAGAGGTCGTAACCAGGTACCCGATACCCGTACCCTACCCGATACCCGGCTACCCATTTGCGACCCTGGTGCGGCCGGGTACGGGTAGGCCGTGAGTCACTGGTGAGTCACCGTTTGTCACTCATTTCCCAACGTCTTGTCTCTTCTCACAATTCAAGTTCCTAGAGTCAACCCACCCGCGCCTGCAACATGGATTCATCCCAGAGGTCGCAATCAGGTACCCGATACCCGTACCCTACCCGATACCCGGCCGGGTACGGGTAGGGTACGGGTAGCCGTTTGCGACCGGGTACGGGTACGGGTAGGCCGTGAGTCACTGGTGAGTCACCGTTTGTCACTCATTTCGGGTAGGGTACGGGTAGGGAACGGGTACCCGTACCCGGCCGGGTACGGGTACGGGTACCCATTTGCGACCCTGGTGCGGCCGGGTACGGGTAAGGAATCAAAACCCGTTTGCGACCTCTGGAGTAGGCTCAGCTGGCCGCCGCCGCGCATCAAACGGGATGGGGCAAGGAGGGAGTCCGAGTAAATTTCGGCTTGGACGCAGCCAGCGTGCTGCGGTTTTTCAAAGTCGACACGTAGAGACGAACCCGTGTGTGCATCTATGAGACCTTCCTACCAGCATCCTAAAATGATGAAAGATAAGAATAGCTGTTTTGCACTTTCAGAAAGAGTGTAAAACCTCTTCTCAATTTTCTACGTGTAGAGTGGAAAGGTGTGCATCTATGTGACACCTTCTTGCCAGTACAATGATGAAAAATAAGAATAGGCTTTATCCTTTCAGAAAAAATTAAATCTATTCTTAGGGTATGACCTATTTTTCATCATTTTGGAACATGTGTGTATTGCGTACGCCGCAATACACACACGATTCCTGACACGGGCGCCTGCCTTGTGTGCAGAGTTTCTACGTTCTCTCTCTCTTCCCTATTCTGCAGTCTCTGTGAGTGCAGTTTTTGTGTTCTACAAATAGTGAGTGTGTGTGAATGTGAGCGTGTGGGGAGCGGTGGGCGTAGCGGGTCAACACGACAATGGGGAGACAAAGGCGGCCGGGGGTGGTGCTGGCCACCCACCCCCTTGTGTCGTGCCGGCCTACATAGGTGCACGCCAACAGCACTTGCCCCAACAGTCTGTTACAGGCTATATGGGGAATCTTTGTATTTGTGTGAGCTAGTGTGGTGCATCTGCCAGTCGTCTCAGTCGGTCAACCCATGGCACCTGGGTCTGTCCCGTGACCTCCTCTGTCAGCGAGCCTCCGACACTTCTCGTTGCCTCGGAGTGCACCTGGCCTGGCACAAGCGCTGTCGTGACGTCACCGCCACAGAGTGGAAAACGGCGGCTGTTGTATGCGCGTGTGTTTAACGTATTTCGCACCGCACAAAGCCAACCATACTATCTTAATTTTGGAGCTTTCGTGACTGCAGGAATTATTCTTTGGTTCTTTCGGTTAAGTCACGTCTAAAGATAAAATAATAAATTAAATAATAGCATATTACGACGTTTCGATTGCAACACAAGCCTGATGATGATTGTTTGTGTTGCAATCGAAACGTCGTAATATGCTATTATTTAATTTATTATTTTATCTTTAGACGTGACTTAACCGAAAGAACCAACCAGACTAATTGGAGGTGTTGTTGTGTGAGCGAGTGTAAATGTGTTTGAGTACCAGTGAGAGTGTGTGGAGTTTGTATGCTCTCCCCCTGTTCCCTCCCTAGTTCTACGGTTTCCTCCTCCCGTCGCTAAATATCCTCCCATACTACACAACCGGTATTGGCCAAAAATTCAACAATGATGAAAAAATCTACCTGAAAACGACTCGATTGGCAAGACACAGCAGCAGCAACAACATCACCATTCCCCCTCTACTGTGAAAACCCTGCGTAGCAGTAGCAGTTTTTAAGGGTGGGTGTGTGCGTGGGTGGGTGGATGGGTGCATGCATGCATGTGTGGGTGGTTAGTTGGCTAGTTGGCTGGGTGACTGGGTGGCTGGATGGCTGGATGGCATGCTGGGTGGGTGGTTGGCTGTGTAGAAGAGTATGGTTAAGTATGGGCGGGTATGGGTGGCTGGGTGGCTGGGTGACTGGGGGGCTTGCTAGGTGACTGGGTGGCTGGCTGACTGGGTGGCTTGCTTGGTGGCTAGCTGGGTGGGTGGCTTGCTGGCTGACTGGATGGCTTGCTGGGTGGCTGGGTGGCTAGCTGGGTGGGTGGGTGGCTGGCTGACTGGATGGCTTGCTTGGTGGCTAGCTGGGTGGGTGGGTGGCTGGCTGGGTGGCTAACTGGATGGCTTGCTGGCTGGCTGGGTGGCTGGACTGCTGGGTGGGCACCTTGACGGGAGCGATGTCGTTCTCGTTCTTGAGCACAAAGCGCCCCTCGCGGTCGTCCTTGTTCCAGTTGAGCTGCACGACGAGCGGCTTCTCGTGCTCCCCCAGGCGCCGCTCCTCTGCACGGGCGGCACGGGCATAAGGCGGTTGGGCGACAGCACGTGGCACTGGCAACAATACCGGCGGGCCACCAGCGGCAATGGCACCAGCATTGGTAGAAGCATTGGCACCAGTGTAGCATTAATGCCCACATCAATGACAAAGCAGGAACAGCACAGCACACGTCAACACCGCGACAACCGGATTAACAAATAACACCCAACAGCAACCACTTGTACAACACCATTATCTCTGTCTCTCTCTCACTCTCTTAGCGAGAGGGAACTAGTACTGCGCGCATTACAAATTAGTATGATTATTGACATCATGATTATTAATCACACCCTAACCCTGAATCTCCTCCACTGATACTCTCATCCCTCCCTCCCTCCCTCTCATCCCTCCTTCTCTCCCTCTCATCTCTCCCCCTCCCTTCCCTCCCTCTCACCTCCGCTGGAGTGAACCTCGTAGAGGGAGTACCGCGGCGCCGTCAGCATACGGATGTCCGGGCGAAACTTCTCGCTCAACGTCTCCACCACGTCCGACGTGGTGGCCGTGCTGGACACGCGGATGCACTTGGTGGCAAAGTTGCCCGACATCTTGTCTTGGAAGTAGAAGCGCATCACGCCGTGGAACTCCAGCTCCTGGCAACGACAGAGAGGCCGGACGCGTCAAGCCGGAAGAAGAAGGCGGACGCCACGTCCCCCCCCCCCCACCTTCTCTCTCCAGACTCCGCGCGCAACCTATCCGCCCTGCAGCTGGGGAGATGTTAACTACCTCGCCTGGTGTGTAGGAGGACGTGGGTTCGATTCCGACCCTGACGCCTGCTGCTGTATATTTGGAGTTTGCGTGTCTCTCTCTCTCATCATCATCATCATCACGGTGGCTAGGAGATGTTAACTACCTCGCCTGGTATGCAGGAGGACGTGGGTTCGATTTCGACCCTGACACCTGCTGCTGTATATTTGGAGTTTGCGTGTCTCTCTCTCTCTCATCACCATCACGGTGGCTATGAGATGTTAACTACCTCGCCTGGTATGCAGGAGGACATGGGTTCGATTCCGACCCTGACGCCTGCTGCTGTATATGTGGAGTTTGCGTGTCTCTCTCTCTCATCACCATCACGGTGGTTAGGAGATGTTAACTACCTCGCCTGGTATACAGGAGGACGTGGGTTCGATTCCGACCCCGACGCCTGCTGCTGTATATTTGGAGTTTGCGTGTCTCTCTCTCTCATCACCATCACGGTGGTTAGATGTTAACTACCTCGCCTGGTATGCAGGAGGACGTGGGTTCGATTCCGACCCTGAAGCCTGCTGTATAGTTGAAGTTTGCGTGTCTCTCTCCCCAGTATTCGTGTGGATTATTTTCTGGGTGCTACGGTTTTACCGTCTACAGTTGGAAACATGCGACAAAATTCGACGCGATAAGCCACTTCGTTGAGCTATCAATTCCAAGTCGCTTCTGAAAAAGAGCTGTACAGTTCTGTGGGCATTACCTGGTAAAATTTCAATTGTTCAGTTTAAAATCAGATAAATAAAATATACAGGAATACCCCGGTTTACATCGGTGGGGGGGGAGGCGTTCCTGAAAGGTGCGACGACGAATATCGAAACAACGTCAGTCAAAGCAATTTACAGGGTAGCAGTGGGTGGTGGTGGTAGTAGTGGGTAGCAGTCGTGGTTAGTAGTCGTACTGGAAGGCTGAGAAGCGACAGATAATGAGAGAGGACGGACAATTCCGTCAACGACGTGAGTGTGTGGGGGATGAGGCGACGCAAATTGTGCAGCGGTGCTCATGACAAAGTGAAGATGTGTTTTGCGAAACGACATAAAACGGGCAGACATAAATTGGGGTATTACCATCTATAAATGTTGGTATATGTAAATAATTCTAGATTTGAAGCTTTTATGATTGCAATGATTCATATTCTTAGGTTTTTTCGGTAAGGTCACGTAGGTAAAAACATTAAAAAGTAAAATAAAATAAAAATCACGACGTTTCGGAGGCAACACAAGCTTCCGTCTTCAGGTGGTACCGTCACAGCCACGACAGGAGCTACCACTCCAACCATTATATAAACCGAGTTGTAGCTCTTGCGATCTCTCATTTACTTGATACAGCTGTCGTGGCTGTGACGGTACCACCTGAAGACGGAAGCTTGTGTTGCCTCCGAAAGGTCGTGATTTTTATTTTATTTTACTTTTTAATGTTTTTACCTACGTGACTTTACCGAAAAAAACTAAGAATATATGTAAATAAATATATCATGAATAGGTATAGATGTAACATATATGACTGAAAATATATTTGAATATTTATATATTTCTTAGATTATCTGAACTGGTTCTGGGCGTACCCTAGTACTGCACGGCCTTCACAGGTGCTCGCTAACGGCCCCTTCCTCAGAAGTCTATGAAGGCTATACGGGGGACCTTTGTCTGATAGGTCACGTGGTACGTGTGGCTCCCCCAGGGCCACGTGCTTAACAACAACCGTGAGGTGCCCGAGTCGCTTAGTAAAAACAAACCGGCTTCCACTCATTTATTTTCTTCCCGTAGAAACGTAAAGCGGTCGGGGGTTGATTGATGAGCGAGCGAGCGCTCCGGATTCTCTCGCTCGCTCGCTGGCGGTCAGTCGCCACGTCGCCCATCCATCACCACGTCCCACGGTGTTGCAGGTCCTGTGACTTTTTCGTCTTGTCCACACTGTTGTTCAACCACCATCGCCGTGAAATACTACGCGCTAACAGCCCCTTCCTCAGAAGTCTATTAAGGCCATACGGGGGATCTTAGTCTGATAGGGAAAGGCCCGAGGAGACGTGACGGATATGAGAAAGGACGGATGATGCTGTCAGCGAGGTGAACGTGTGTGGGGGATGAGGCGATGCTAATCGGGTAGCGGACACGTATTTGCGAAACATCGTAAAAGGGGGAGACTTAAATCAGGGTATTACATACCTACCTCATTACAGACCAATCAGTGCCTACCTCTAGATTTGAAGCTTTTGTGACTGCAAGGATTCATACTCTTAGGTTTTTCGGTAAAGTCACGTAGGGAAAAAAATTAATAAAAAAATATTTAAAAAAAATAGAAATAATAATAGAAATAAAATAATTATTCATTTATTCTTTTATAATAAATCATTTATAAGAAATCATTTATTATATTTCTATTATTATTTCTATTATTTATTTTTATTTTTACCCACCTGACTTTACCGAAAAATCTAAGAGTAGTGTCTACCTCATTACAGACCAATCAGTGCCTACCTCATTACAGACCAATCAGTGCCTACCTCATGACAGACCAATTCAGACCTCATTGTTCTCCCCGTACTCTTATACATCTCAACGGTCACCCGACAAAGTCCCATCACAAGGCAGAAACACAAACCGATAGACAAACTCCCCCCCCCCCCCCACGTATTGAAACGGCTGTATGCCGTATGGACTTGAAAACTACATTTTCCCGTACAAAAAACACGGGGTAAAAAACCGTATGGGTTGACAGGTATGGTATTACTACACGTTCTACCCCTGTTCTGCAGTGTGAGTGAGTGTGTGACAGTGTATGAATGAATGAGCGAGTGTGTGGGTGAATGTGTGTGTGTTATACCCCTGCTCTGCAGTGTAAGTGAGTGTGACAAGTGTGTTCTACCCCTGTTCTGCAAAGTGTGAGTGAGTGTGTGACAGTGTATGAATGAATGAGCGAGTGTGTGGGTGAATCTCTGTGTGTGTTATACCCCTGCTCTGCAGTGTGAGTGAGTGTGTGACAGTGTGTTCTACACTTCTACCCCTGTTCTGCAGAGTGTGAGTGAGTGTGTGACAGTGTATGAATGAATGAGCGAGTGTGTGGGTGAACCTGTGTGTGTGCTGAGACTGGAGCGTGCCACTAAGAGGTGGGGCCTTACCATCAGCCCCACCAAAACCAAGCACCTGCCTGGGTATTTTGTACCATCGGACACTCCACCCCCACAACTCCCAATTGGTGATGGGGCAGTTGTGGAGAGAGTGGAGAGTTTCCCATACCTGGGCAGTGTGCTTATGACCGGCTCCAGTCTATCAGCAGAGGTCTCACTCCGAATCAGTCGAGCGGCAATATCTTTTCATCGGTTGCGTAACGCTGTGTGGAAGCTACCTGGTCTGTCGCTCCGCACGAAGCTTCAGGTCTTCTCGGCCACGGTCATTCCCTCCCTTCTCTACGCTTGCGAGACGTGGACCCCCCTGGTGGAGCATCTTCGCCGGTTGGAAACATTTAGGCTGGCCTGCCTACGATCCATCCTGGGTTTAACCAGGCTGGATTGTGTGAGGAGCTCACAAATCCTTGAAAGATCTGGGCAAAGTCCCATCGGTGAGCACCTCCGGCAGGCAAGGCTGCGTTGGCTGGGTCATGTAGCCCGCATGCCCAGCCACCGCATGCCTAAACAGCTTTTGTTCGGCCGGATCGAGGGGGCTAGACGGGCGCGGCACGGGCTGGAGAAGAGATGGAGTGATGTGGTACAGGAGGACGTGGAGCTGAGTGGACTTGCCGATGACTGGTACCAGCGGTGTCAAGATCGGCCTCAGTGGAGGAGGCTCGTGAAGGACGCTACTGGGCAGTTGGAGGCAGTCGCCCTCCAACAACAACGGAGGGCGGAGGAGCGACGCTCACAACAACGAGCGGAGCGCCGGGTGGCTAAAGCACAGCAAGTTGGCACAGTAGGGGGCACAGGTGGTGCATCAGCCAGTCATCTCGGTCATCTCGGTCAGTCGACCAGTGGCACCTGGGTCTGCCCCGTGACCTCCTGCCAGCGGGCTTTCGACACTTCACGTGGCCTCAAGGTGCACTTGGCCTGGCACAAGCATCGTGGTGACGTCACCGCCACTTAGTGGCGAATGGCGGTTGTTGTTGTGTTATTCCCCTGCTCTGCAGTGTGAGTGAGTGTGTGACAAGTGTGTTCTCCCCCTGTTCTGCAGAGTGTGAGTGTGTGACAGTGTAAGAATGAATGAGCGAGTGTGTGGGTGAATCTGTGTGTGTGTTATTCCCCTGCTCTGCAGTGTGAGTGTGTGACAAGTGTGTTCTACCCCTGTTCTGCAGAGTGTGAGTGAGTGTGTGACAGTGTAAGAATGAATGAGCGAGTGTGTGGGTGAATCTGTGTGTGTGTTATTCCCCTGCTCTGCAGTGTGAGTGTGTGACAAGTGTGTTCTCCCACTGTTCTGCAGAGTGTGAGTGAGTGTGTCACAGTGTATGAATGAATGAGCGAGTGTGTGGGTGAATCTGTGTGTGTGTTATTCCCCTGCTCTGCAGTGCGAGAGAGTGTGTGACAAGTGTGTTCTCCCCTGTTCTGCAGAGTGTGAGTGAGTGTGTCAGTGTATGAATGAATGAATGAGCGAGTGTGTGGGTGAATCTGTGTGTGTGTGTTATTCCCCTGCTCTGCAGTGCGAGTGAGTGTGTGACAAGTGAGTTATCCCACTGTTCTGCAGTGTGAGTGTGTGACAGTGAATGAATGAATGAGCGAGTGTGTCGGTGAATCTCTGTGTATGTTATACCCCTGTTCTGCAGAGTGTGAGTGAGTGTGTGACAGTGTATGAATGAATGAGCGAGTGTGTGGGTGAATCTGTGTGTGTGTTATACCCCTGCTCTGCAGTGTGAGTGAGTGTGT